GTAGACGGCGACTTTCGCTCGTAAGGGCATGCGGCCATTGTCGGCGGGTGGGAGGATGCCCTTCTCGATGGTAGCGCCCGTGGCTGAAGGGGATAGTCTTGCCAGTGATCCAGGTTTTTCGGCGGGTAGAGGCATGTAATGAAGAGCTCGCGCCCACATGCAGTTACGGGCTGCGCGGGGCTCGGAACTAGCAGTACCGGGAATGGTGTAGGTCCAGTCCGTTTGCTCAAAGAACGAAGTGCCCAGCATATGGCCTTCGTGGGCTCCCTTAAAGAGACCTTGGGCGTTGGCGATATCGAAGGTGCTCAGAGCGGCTTTGTGCAAAGGACCCCCCATGGGCATCAGGAGAGCCAGGGTTGGGATGGATCGAAGTGTGAGGTGGGAGAATGATCGCTGGGGCCATAATAACGACGAGAACCAGATGTCGGTGGCTGCCTCTGCTCCTATATAACCAATCACCGCACCAAAGGCGCCAAAAACCCCGCCTTGGTCGGACATATCGCCAAGCGAGATGAAATCTGGTAGCAAAGGGTTGTGGTCAGATCGAACTCACTCCTTTTGCCCAGATGGCCGGATCTATCATAGTAATGATCAGATCTGATGATATGGCCGAGTTTTGAGTTGGTCGGAGACCTGCTGAGCTGGTTAGTTGGTGAGCGGGTCAGCATTGTCAGGCTGATCTAGGCTTACATGGGATTCAGCCGCAAGATGGGGTTGTCAAAAAATCCAGTCGGCCAAGGGTCATCCCATGATGGCTATCATGTTTTGAAAGTGCCCATGTAGAATCCGTCTTCCGATATATCATGCCCCTTGAATCAGGGACATGACAGTAAGCCAGTCAACATCATCTATGGGTGCCGGTTTGGTTCAGGTTCAAAAGCTTGCCAAGACGGGACTAGCTCTACCTAGCAGGCCGCTTCATAAAGTCCCAAGCGAGTTTGGGGAATTGATACCTGTCAGAATCTATGCCTCGGAACCCGATTATCAACTACTAATATGTACGTAATCATTTTTTTAAAACTCGTCTTGTCTCCCTGCATTTTTATATGAAAATATCTGCTGCCTGGTGTTGTATTAGACTCACGTGGACGTTGCCGTCTAAGCCACATCCATGGATGTAGAAACAAGCTTAACATTTACACTTTCACCTACAGGTGCTTATACACAAATACATGAGGTTTGAATTTATGTATAAACTGTTTGTAAACCCACCAGCTTAAACGTTTGTTCCCAATTGTTTGGGGCATTCAGCTTATCAGTCAGATATATCAAAAAGAAATTGCCCGACTCTCCCATAGCGCATTCACATCCCGTGTACAGCCATATCACTTCCTTTGACATGAAATCTTCACACAAAACGCCTATACCGCTCCATGTGCATCAGCGTGGCTCGAGACAGGAATGGAATTATCCTGCACTCCCCATTCCCCCTCTTCGATCTTTTGCGCGTAGAATCGAACCAGGAGACCGACAATAACTGGGCCAATAATAGTATTCAAAAGAATAGCCCAAACACCCGTGATGAAACCTTCGTCACTAACGTACGGAGTTTCGTTGTGTCCGATTTCGATGATCAAAAGCCCAATCTCACCGCGTGCCACCATAGCAGATCCTAAAAGTGCTGCAGCGAGCCAGGCCCGGTTCCACCGGGTTCCCTTCTCTTGCGTACTTTGCCCATCGTTGCTTGTGCTGTTGTTTTCGTTTTTTCGTTCTCCCCGTCTCTTCTGCTGTTCATGTGACCTTTCTTTGTGAGATTTACTCCCAGCGAGTTGCCATATGGGGACCCAGATCCCGACGATACACTAAATAGAATTTATTAGTCCAATGCCGAGAAAAATGAGATTGAAATATACTTGTATACCTTTGCAAATGCCATGAGAAGGGTGTAAACCACACCTCTCCAAATTCGTTTCCCCGTCCATAGCTGCACGAACGGAATTGCAAATCCGATACTTGCAAAGAACAGAGGCTCCATCAAATACTGCTGAGTTCCAAGCAGATATTTCTCAAATGTATGGATAAAAGTGGGGCTTTTATCCTCCTCGCGCTCGCCTTCCTCACGGCTCATGACCACAAATGGTCCGTCGGGGTGCTTGCTTGGTAGGTATGAGATAAAGACGCCTGCCAGAAAGGCACCAAATAGGACGGATGTACCAGCAAAGCCAGCAATGGCAACAAACGCCGAAAGAACAAGGGTCATGAGGATTATGTTGGAAATATGGTCGAATCGCGCAAAGTGGTATTCAATGAACGTTCGGAAAAAAGGAGCAAAGACCCATTTGGTGAGGATGGGTGTTACGATGGCCATGGCGATTGATGCCACTATGGGACGCCCAATAAGCCAGCCTAGATTGACGTCGCCATCTCCTGAAATTTTGCCCAAGTCGGCAATGACACTATACAGCTAGTCAGCTTGATGAATCCACCACACACCTTCCAGTTGAAATAAGCAACACACCTTAACATAACAAGTCCTACGACATCGTCGATGACAGCAGCGCTCACTAGAACTGACCCTACTCTGGTCTCGGCGAGATTGACCGAGCCAGATGCAGAACTGATCACAGCAAAAGTAGTCCCTGATATCAATCAGCAATTATAACGTGCACACTAAGTGGAAATAATTTACCGAGTGAAGTAGCGGAAAGAGACGCTCCGATGATGAAGGTCTCAACCGCACCTGGCTCATGTTAGTTTTGACTATAGGAATTGGGCATGTAAAACAAACCAAAACCAAAGCCAAGGTATAGCAAAAGGAATGAAAGACCAATTGGAAACACAACGCCAGTTGCCGCTCCGATCATACTCAAAATGAAATTCTGCTTAAGAAGATCGACACGAGTGCCAAGACCGCCTAGTATGTATGACGTCAGTATCCAAGAAAAGCCAAGCAGCCAAGAGGAAAATGTTTTCACACCTTCGAAAATGATCAAAATCAGACCGATATATCCTAGAACAGAAAAGGTCTTCTGCCAGTTATGTTCAAGGATATCGGCTAACGGTACACCGTAGATGATACCGACGGCGATTTGGCCTATAATCCCGGCCTGGATTACCTTTGCGGAGACCCATTTTGCGAGAGAAAGGAAAAAGAAGAAAGAAATGATAATCAGGATATCGACAGCTGCAATCGATCAGTGAGGAAATGAGCAGAGATCAATTGGAATATGCTTAGGTACATACTTCCGGGTTCGTGGTATGGGAGGAAGCCACCGGCCATACTAGAGCTTGTCTTTGACAAGATTGAAGAAGGTAATTCCAGCACTTAAGTGTACGTTAATTGTGAAGACCCGTCTGTGGTCCTCCCAGTCTGGGCAGTCTGGGCATCTTGGGTGGATTCGAAGAAGCGTAGACATTGGATTACCGGAAACGGAACATTACTCATCTCAGCTCTCCAGGGCTTCTACATCCGCAACTTTTCCCCAGGTGAAACCGTACACTCATTAAATCATCATAGTTACCTCATACAGTCTACACCTGAGCAGTTTCTCACATGCTATTAATTGTGTCTACAAGACGAAATGGCTCTAGATAGGGGATTAAACGACGCGACAAGCTCCAACATACCGAGTTACAGGCCAGAAACTCCAGGCATTAATCTTCACAGGAATACATAATCTCCACATCTGGACTCATAGGAACACAAATGGCAGGCGAAAAGCTAGAAAGCTAGAGGCGAATACCTATGTTGTAGAAAAGTTGCTCTGTGAGTCAGGGTTGTTGGGCTTAGGGATCACTAACTCACCCTGTGGTGGATTTAGATCCATCACAACATTATTACAGGAGACTATCGCTCAAATAGTAATTATCATCACAATGATGTTGTGAATATCCATAAAGTATGTAATTAATATCAGCCTATTCAGCTTTAGTGGGACATCCCAACCTTGTAGTGAACTTATATCAGAGGAATATGGATCAACATCACAGCTTGGAATTCGTTCAATACTATCTACGACAATGTATATCTCTTTTAGGATTAGTATACTTTTGCAAATTTCGAATTATCATCGGACATCGTATATCCTTGGTTTGGTCGTAATATCTAATTTTAGCAGTATCATGGTGCTTGCTCTCAGCCCTCGACAATACGGGCAATCTACATCAACGATGTGTTCGGATAATATTAACGAATAGTTTGTAGCCTGAGAGTTGAGCCATGGGCCCACTTGCATAATTTTATGTAGATGATGGGCACCGAAAGAAGAAAATGGAAGCTGTACCCTTTTAAAACGAATCCTTGTTAAATATGGCCACTTACTGTTGGCTCCCTACCTAATTTAGAAGCACATGCAACTCCTGTGAGCATTGGCGTCAAAGCAACAATACTCCAAGAATAAAATCCCCCGTAAGCCTGACAACGTACGAACTTCCCCGCCTAGTAACTAAACAGAAAGTAGTTAGGGCTCGTGTTGATCCTACGTGGCCCCATATTAGCGCGAACGTCGTAAAAATAGCATTTTCGAGCCTCATGGATTTGAAGTTTTGATGGTTTGTACAGAGGATATCTTAAAGATTATTGTGATAATTTCTTTGAGAGGCAAATGTGTCAGTTCGAAGGGATCAAGATACTGTGATCTTTTTCATTGACGCCGAGTCTAGCGCTATCGAAGCGCTTCTTTGTTAGACCGTCTCATCTTGAGGGCAGTGCTTCAACCCCCACCCTGGGGCTGTTAGGCTGTCGGCTGTACATCATCTGTGATTGTTCACTTCTATTCTTCCAAAGATTTTTTTGGGATTCTGTATTTCCTGCTACCTTCCAACCTCTCTTGTGCTTTTGAACTTGGGCATATTTAATTACTTTATACAAAGACATCGAGGAGTTACCTAAAACGGTATTTAATGAGGAAACTCTAGCGTCAGTCGTGTCTTTTGTATTATCTTTCGTGGCGGTTCTTTGTCTTCCAGAAGTCGCTTTGGGGCCTTCACATAAGACGAAAGTGCCCCAAGAATCTAGATTTCAACCCACGATACCTGCTATGAGATTCTTGCCATTTGCAATGTTGGACACTGTACGGGGAGATGCAGGTACCCCGGATCTCAGTACATCAAAATACATTGAGACCTCGCCAGTGGCATCAGTGGGCCGAGATGTGGTGCCCACGACGACAGCCGGCGGACAAAACAAGAATATTGCATCAGAAGCGTCAAGCTTGGTAGACCCAGCAACAGTATCAGCCATTCTTCCTAGTGGATCAGATTCATCGCCCACACGCAGCGAGTGGATACAGGAATCAACTGGGACATCGGCTGCCAAAGATATCAGTGCATCAGAAGCCAGCCCCAAACCAACCAGCCTACTGGATGCAACAAGTCCACACCATTCATCACAAACACCCCGGACCATGCCTTCAAGTTCAGACCTATCCTCCCTCGCATCCACCCAAACAGCGTCCTCAACAGCGACAACCTCCGCCTCAACAACCTCAGCAATCAGCGACTCAACCGCTTTCTCCGGCGGCCCATCAAAAACAACAAAGATTGCCATAGCAGTCCCAGTCTCAGTAATCGGCCTGGCTCTAATCCTAGCGCTCCTATTCTTTCTCTATCGCCGACGGCGCCACGACAAACAACGCAACGCCCTACCCCCATCATACGACATAGCAACAGGGCACCGAAGCGCGGTATCGACACAAGAGCTAATGGTATCCCCAAAATCCTCGACACCAGAGTCAAGACGTTCATTCTCCACACCGGCAATGTCATCAACGGCCATGTCCATGCCCATGCCCCCCATTCCCCGGATCCCGATTATCAGCATCTCGCCCTCGACGGAAAGTCGGGGCCAAACGCCCAGTCCGGGTCCTAGTTCTGGGACCTCCTTTCGCCGCATGTCTATGACCCGTGGACCTAATGACTCTGAGGCGGAGCTTGGGGTTGCAGTCGCAGTTCCGATGGATCAGAGGCGGAGTGCTACTGAGCAGGATTTTAGGGGTCGGGTTGCGTCTGTTGCGTCCTCGAGGCGGCCATCGCGGTTAGCTAGGATGCCGTTTGAGGATTTCTCGGATGACGAGGTTGGTATTGGCATTGCTCGTGGTGGTTCGGATGATGAATATGATGATGCTGTTTCTGATGTGTCGGATCTGGATGGGCGGAGGAGGGAGAGGGACTTTGATGACCATTCTGTGGTGTCGTCTTTTGATGAGGTGTCGCCGATAGGTGAGCAGGAGAGGAGGCGGTTTCGGGGAGTTTGAGGGTGTCAATAAGATGATATGATACAATGAAGTCAAGCTTGGTCTAGAGCTTCCATTATGTGGGTTTCTTTTGGTTCTCTGGCGTTTTGGTGGGTTCGGGGAGGCTGTTCTTTCTGTAGGGTTTCATTGTAATAGGCTACAAGTTGTGTATTTTAAACTATGTACATGAATATGACTGGAATGATATCCTAGCCACAGTGGTCATAGCAGCGGGCATTTTGAGGTCATCTGCAGCGTTAAAATGAACTACAGTCGGCGCTGATTCTTCTTCCGATCATCTTGCGCCACCGAAGTCAGCCTTGTGGGCTGTGGCCTTTCCGTGAGTCAATTCCCGAAGAGCCATGGTGGCGTACTGGCTTGATCCCAGCTGGAATTTGAGAACAACAGCTAGCTTATCAGCTGTGGTCTCATCGGTCGTAGCGGCATCGGTTTTCTCATCCTCGGGCTTCAACTTCTGCATATCTGTCTTGACGAACTGCTCATCGTCCTTGGAATAAAGCTTCACGTCGAAAGAGTAGTTATCTCCCACCATACGGCTGAAAATCTTACGGTAGCCACCGCTAAGGCTGATGTCCTTCCACTTGCGGCGCATGTTGGACGGGTCAAGGCCACCACCTTGCTCGCTTTGCATGAAGCGAACATAAAATCCCTTCATTTCGTTTTCAGGGTAGATGATGTCATATCCGGGCTGGGGAAGAACCAAGTCAAAGATGGTATATTTGCCACTGGCTGCCTCTTCAGCCGTCAGGGCACGTGCTCGCATGAACATGTCCTCGGCCGCAACAGCACTGTCCTCGCCCTGAGGAACAACGATAATTTCACCGTCGGCATCGACAGTCTCGGCAGCCTCGACAGCGGAACCAGATTCCTTCTCGCGGTGCTCTTGGATAATGACAAGATCACCTTCCACCACTCGGTCGCCGTAGAGTCGCCAGCGCTCACTAACAGCAAAGTTCCAGACAAGTGACTGGTATGCGTGCACGTACATCAATCGCAGGTTCCGGGGGATACACTGCAGCGCACCCAGATAATCCTTTTTATTCCTGCCGAGGTGGCGGATTAGATTGTTTTCAGCGGAGAACTTGCGCGGGATCTTTTGCAGAGCGTCGTTGACGTTACCGCCTGTCTGGAAAATATTGATTGCCATGGCGCGATCCTTGTCATCAGTGCCGATGTTAGCAGTAGACATTTTCCCCTCCATTGCCGCCTGAAGAGATTCAGGAGCATAGTGCAGAATAGCATCGCATGCGCCCTTGAAATCCCCCTGCAGCATCTTGACGCCGACTGTATCCGTTCGGGTTGCGAAGGTTCCAAATCGCTGGAGACCGTAGTAGTTGAAGTATCCTCGTTGGTATAGGTTCTTCAACGATGTACCGACTACCTCGGAGGCCTTGGCAATTGCAGCCTGAGGATCACTCATGCTCACGCCGGGAATTTCAACGTCGCGCAGAGTAACCACGAACTCATTGCCCTGCAAATCCCCGAGCTCGAGTCCTTGCTTGCGGTACTCAAAGTCTCCAATGAAAGCATTGCGGAGGTCCGAGTTCACTCGTGCAAGCCGATCGACTTGAAGACGCACAGCGCAGGCACGCTGCACAGTCACACCCCGCCTATCCTTGGTTCCAGCGAATTGTAAAGACTTGGGGTTCATCTTCAACGAGCGGGAGATATAACCAATGACTTCCATTGTGTCCTTGTTCTCCTTGTAGATGGTGAAATGCAGGTATGGCCCCCCGAGTTCTTCCCAGTTTGTTCGGTGGCCCTGGACCCGGCCATTGGCTCGTCCTGCGGTCGCACCACGCTTGAAACGGTTGCTCGCAGCAGTGATGGACATATTTCCCTCCGCGTCGGTAGTAGACTCTAGCTGAGAGTTGAAAATGCGACGGATAGCCTGGTGGATCTTGGTGCGAAGGTCGCGATCAGACACGGCAAAAGTGACCTTTCCGAATTCACTAGGCCGACTCTTGGGCTTAGCCATAGCGATCTTGTGAAGCGCAATCATCTCGGTAGCATTTTGAGCGCCAACGTATTCGTCCAGAAGAGTGCGGTCCTCTTCCGAAACCTTGAACTCAGCTGGCTGTTCCGCATCATTGGCCGGAGTACCCTCGGGTTGCTCCGTAGCCTGGGTTTCGGCTCCGGGGGCTTTTGGCGCAGGGACAGGCTCTGTCGTAGTAGGTTCGGGCTTGCTGGGACTATCAATGCTTCGGAGGTGGACAACTTCGCCGTTGAGCATGATCTCATTGACCATGAAATCTGTGTACCTGCGCATAATGATTAGCGGAATCCTCAATTAGAGGAACAGAATAGCTCACCTCTTTTTCAGGATACCTGAGAATCCCTCAGTGTCGTTGCTCACAAACTCCGTGATTCCGACCTCGGCTTCCTTCAGAGTCTGCGCGTCTGAGACCGCGGTGCTGGTCTCAGTTGCGCCATCAAGGGTGATAGCCACCTCGGTTGAGGCTACATCTTCGGTCTTCTGTCGCTTTCGCGGAGACTCCACGATATCTGGCTTCTCCATCTTGTATCGTTCGTAATGGGTGGGGTTGAATGGAGAAGGTTGAGCTCCAGGAACTTTTCTTTACTGATCAGGTCTAGCGCGACAGGGCCAAGTGCGGGTCAGCCCTACTTACCGCGTTGGGACGTAGAAACTTATACTTCACTTCATTGAATGTTCGACTCCTTCAATAGTCAACAGATCTCATTCAGGGGCATAGCCAGGTATCTGATACCAGATGTATCTATTAAGCCTCTTACTGTAGATAGTCATAGGAAGATAGCTGGTACGAATACAAACTGAGATATTTCTAAAACCTTCAATACGTTCGAACGGAATCCACGCGTTATATTAGCGGTGTGACAATTGATCAATAAAAAGATAGCAAGAATCGCCAAAGCTAAAGGCGTAAATTGTTGATTGTAAAAGAGGAAGGCTACACATCCACTCAGTTAGTTTTGGTATCCACCACTGGCCGGGTCCAACTAAAGTATTATGGCGGCGTCTCCCCTTCCAGCCATGCGCTGGGCTAACCACAATCTCATTAGCAGATGACTCCATCGTCTCCCCCTGGCCCAATCTTCATGCCTCCGCTTTGACTGCCTTGCCCATTCTGATCGCCGTATTTACCGATTCCTCCTGTTGTATATGCTCAAATTTCGATAGATCCCTACGGGTGTAGTTTGAGATGATGCTGGTGGCTGGCTACGGGGTCACATAATATGGGGGATTTGGACTTGAAGCTCGGGATGAAGCTAGGTCGGAGTCTCATCCAGGCAGACTTCCACCCCCATTGGCGGTTTCGACCAGCAGGGACACTCCCCCGAGTACTCGAGCTTCAAGTGCAAAATCCTTATGTTATGCGACCCCATAGTCAGCTGCTGGCATAATCTAAACAAGCATAATCTCAGCAAATATTAATAGCTAGCGAGCTTCTCATCGCTTCGGGAACTTTACCCACACGGAGTCATCGCAGTTTGAGCACATACAACAGAAGAATCGCCAATTATACGATAATCCCGCCGGGCACCGGCATAATGATCACAAGTGGACACTTCCGATGCAATTACCATCATGTGGACCGATTCTCGGGTTTTAATATCATTTCCAACTAACCACTGTCCTCCTGCACAGTTCTGCTGTCCCGATTTATGTCTCAAATGATTGGAATTTGGTAAATAGCCAATTATGACGGTTTGTTCAAACAAGTCCATGAAAGCTAGTTATGGTAGAGGCCAGTTGTTTCACAGATTTCAGTGTGCTATCTTGTTTATAATTTGAGAGATTTGTTTATCCAATATGATACAGATTCTCATCCGGAAGAATAGCTACGCTTAAACCAAACAAACTGCATAAGCTTACCTCAGGTGGGATCGAGATGTTTGCAAAGTATCCAGACTAATTCGAAAGCAGATATGGATTCTTCTGGGCTGCCAGATGTACTATCCTTCGTAGCTCTGGCCTAACTCCTTGCATGCTAAGCAAAGCCGAATATAAATAAACCAGGGAGCAAGATAGAAGGAGACATATCCCGGTTTATAGAGCCAAAGCATATATTGTAATTGAAGATATGCAGCCCCCCCTCCCAAAGCTCTATACCTAGCATCACTCAAATATGCAGCTTAAAATCCCAATCTCTGGCTGGTAAAGTACTACGCGCCGGAATCAGGACCACCACGAATTCCAAATCAGACGCCCCGACGGCGCAAATGACTGGACGCTTTCCGTGCAACATGCCGAAGAAATTCACTCAATCTCCGATCCTAGCTGAGCAGTCTCGCTGATCGGTCTTGTACTTTGAAGGAAACTAAAGCCGAACCTGGAGGTATAAAATGTAGGTATTCACCCGCTGTTTTGGATATCATCAACCATCCTTCTTTACTGCTTACCTCTAAATCCATTCGGTGAGACTTATTCGTAACTGACATTCCTCACACCCAGCAATTGAACTAATCATTGGCTGTCATTTCTACAACATTAGCTCGATCTAAAACAATGAAGTCCAATTTCCTCATCGCGCTCTTCAGCTTGGCTCTGGTCGCTGTTGCTGCCCCTACCAGTATGTTACCAGTTAGTGCAGCGCTTTATTTGGTTGGAACATTTCTAATAGAGTGATCATGATAGATATTGGTACCGGACTTGGCGCCGGCAGTGGTGGCGGCGGTGCCGTGAGCGGCGGCGGCGGTGGCGGTGGTTCTGTCGGTGGAGGCCTCGGCTTTGGTGGTGGCTTCGGCGCTGGTTCTGGAGCCGGTGCGGGTCTTGGTGCCGGCGCCGGTGCTGGCAACTGAAAGGATGGTTTGGGGCTGGACTAATGGGCTTGATATTGTGTAGTCCATTCAAGTGGTATCCTGGTAGGATGATAGGACTGGCAATGACAGTTTCAACCATTGCTTCATTTATATCTATGAATTCGTAGAGCTCAAGTGATTTCTTCAGTGTGATTCGCTGCGAAGCAGGGGTCTTTATACGTAGCAAAAGAAAAGAGAGTGATCAAAGACAACGAAATTTGTAACGCTCAGCCCAAACTCCATTGTGATTCTTTTTTCTATCTTCCAGGATGTAGTGTGCATGATACATGGGTTACGTTAGAATGAAATGCTTTGTACGGGTCAAGCGTGAAAAAAAAATCAAACAAATGTAAAACAACAAGGGGATGATTATTTTACAGCTCATCTTTGGGAAGATCCTCCTTCTCCTTGGGCTGATCCTTGGGCTGATCCTTGGGCTGATCCTTGCCCTTGCCCTTGGTCTTCTCGGCCTCGGGCTTCTTCTTTTCCTTTGTTGCCTTCTTACCGTTGCCGCTGCTGCTCTTCTTCTGCTGGCCAGCGGCTGAAGTCATCCTCTCGTACATGCGGTTAAGAATACGCTCGAACTCGCGAAGCCGCGAGTCAACCTCCACGACGGTGAAAGCCGGATCATCGGACTCGCCAAGCTTCTCTTGCAGACTGAGCTGGGTCTCGAGCCAGGGGTTGGTGGACTCGTAAGCCTCGGTTATGGCCGTGAGGTCGGCAGGAGTGAAGAGGGAATACTTGGGGCCTGTTGGCTTGGCCGTAGCAGCACTCTTAGTAGATGTGGTAGAAGATGAAGAAGTAGAGTATGGGTCTTCATCGAGATCATCGACAGCCTCGTCAGAAGTGGCCGGGGCTGGGGTCGATGAGCTGGTCTCAGTGGAAGTGGAGGTGGAGGAGGCACTTGCGGATGAGAGGGAAGAGGAGTAAAGCTGCTCATCGTTGTCGATCTGGTTCTTAATCAAATCCTTCATGGATTCAGCATTCTTGAGCATGTCCTGAAGCAACTGCACGCGTGCTGGGCGAGAAGAGCTCTCCTTCATCCGCTTCAGTGCAGGGTTGACGATGGTCTTCAGGTCCTTGAGCTTCGACTGGAAATCGGCAGTCTTGGCGTTGTCGCTCTCTTCGTACAGCCAATCGCTGGCCTTGGAGACCTTCTCGGAGAGAGCGGTCAGCTGATCCGGCTTGACTGCCTTGATAAACTCCTCGTTATCGGCGAGGTCTCGGCTACGGTAGATGAATGATTCCAATTCGTTAAGAGCCTCTTCGCGCAGGATACGCTCACGGTCCGAATTATCAAAAGCAAGAAGGCGGCCGTTAATGCGGCCAAGCTCGGCGACTGATGGCGCTGGAGTTCCAAGCGCCACAGACTTCAAGCTGATCGGGATGACTTCAAGCTTGACTTGAGGGGTGGCTTTTGCATCCTTCTTTGCGTCCTTCTTTGCGTCCTTCTTTGCGTCCTTCTTTGTGTCCTTCTTTGTGTCCTTCTTTCCGTCCTTGGTGGAAGTGGTGGTGGTCTCGGGACTAGTGGAGGATGTAGTAGAGGACTCCATCTCGGGCTCGAGGGTGATCGATTCACGAGGTTCGCCATCTTCGCCGAGAGGCTCCTGCTCGTCCTTCTTGCCAAGGCCGAAGAAGCCTTTAACATCTTCGACAATTCCCTTCTTTTCGGCTTCCACCTCGCAGCTAACGGTGCCAGCAATGACTTCGGGAAGACCGTCCACAGGGCTGAGGCGGATCGTGAACTTCGTGGTAATGTTTGCATTGGTGCAGCCGAAATCATCCTTGAGCTTGGCAACAGACGCAGTAAGGTTCTGGGTCTGGACACTGAGAATAGGGTGTTCTTCATCCTGGGTAACATGCTGAGCGAAGCTGAATTCGAAATCCTCCAGGTTTTTCACAGTGACTTGCTTCTCAGGGCCAACCTGGGAAGTGGCGGTAAACAGCTTCTGGTTTCTCTGCTTACCATCTGAGTTCCACTTCAAGGAGATGGGGTACGAAGCGGCGTCACCGGTGCGAATATCCTTAACACGGAAACTAGGGCTCAAAGCGGCTCCCTTGAAGGCAGCACCAAACACAGCCGCCTCATCAGCGTTGACGTTTGTTCTGATCTTTTTAGATGAGCCGACCAAGTTCTCTAATTGCTTCTGGACGAACGGTGTGCGGATGGCTCCACCGTGAAGCACGACGGATTCGATATCACTCAATTGAAGGCCGGCCGCTGTCAAAGCCTGCTCCACAGGGGTTCCAATGCGGGCGAAATATTCAGCAGCCATCTTCTCAAAGTTGGCACGGGTCAGCTTGTACTTGAAGTTAACGTCCTCGTAGTACAGTCCCTCGAAGCTTGTCGAAGTCTCGGTGTTGGCGCTCAAAACCTGTCGAAGCTTTTCCGAATCCTTCCAGAGTCTGGACATAGTCTTTCCGTGCGCCTTGATTTCAGCTGAAGTAGCCTTACCCTTGATATTCTTGTGCTCAGCCAAGTGGGCGGCCATGTCGTCCACAATGAGGTCGTTTAGGGAGTCGCCTCCAAGCGACTTGTCCCAACCAGATCCAACAACATGAACTTCCTGAATAGTCTTGTTGAATTTGCCAATGTCTTTAACTTTGCGGCTCTGGAACCGCAAAACGCTCGCAGTGGTAGATCCAGCACCCATGTCATACACGATATGGTATTCGGGCTTCTCGCCATCAGAAACGCTGGGGAAAGTACGGCTGGTGGCGTAGTTCAAGCCCACGGCTAGTCCATCACTAACAAGAGCCTGGATTCTCAGGCCCGCCAGCTCAGCCGCCAACTCGAGGCTGCGCTTCTCCTCCGCGGTGTAGAACACTGGGTAGGTAATGACAACATCACGGACATCGGATCCCTTTCCAGCTAACGCATCAGCATTAGCCTTGATTTGCTTCAACTGCATTGCCAGAATCTCCTCAACCAAGAAGGCCTCCTTCTTCTGAGCCTCTCCTAGCCGGTTGCTGCGGAGAGCAACAGAGCCACGACCATCGGGCGCGGCCTCCAATTTCAACGCGGGGAATCGGCTCCAGTACGTCTTAACCGCCTCATCCTGGCCATCGTTGAACTGAACGCCCAACAGAGTCTTCAAGTTGATGTAAATGTCGTCCGGGTACCGAGCCGCGAGGGCGAGCGCATCACCACCATAGAACCGTTCGGGGAAAGGCGCATCGCTCTCTCTTGTGGGCTTGAAAGCAATAGCAGCGGACTCCTTGCGCTTCGAATCTTTAGTAAGGACGATCTCGAGAGGAATGCCGGGTTTCACAAGGGCAGCCTTGAAATATTCCGTGCCGATGTCGATACCCAGGACGGCCGATCCGGCGGCAGAAGCTGGCCCAGCAAAGCTGAGGAGGAATATAAGGAATGGGAGGACCACGAGGGATAACATTGGCGAGCTGGATAATTGTCGGCGATTTAAGAACGCCATGATCTATGTGTATGCTCCGGGCTGCAGGAGTCAGCCAAATTGCGGATTTAGGGAGCTTTTTGTAAATTGAACAGGAAGGAATTACCTTCGGGCGCACATATATAGATAAATTGACAGGTATTCAATCACTCTACCGGTTTGCCGAATAGTGTGTCGGGTGGCTTTGCGCCAGATGGACAATCGGAGGGAGCTATGGGATAGCTCGATATTGGTGTTGGGTTGGGGAAGTAGGTAGGATAAGAGGATGAACAGAAAAGGAAAATCAAAAGTATGACTCAAAATTAGCCATTTGAAAGCAAAGGGATACTGTGGCCACTTGGCGGTAACTTGAAGCCAGAAACCTTGAGCTGTTGGATGAGGACACGGGTCATCATGCAAACACACCGGACAATGTTTGATGTTTGCACTCCTTATCGTTATCGCATTTGTCACAGCCCTAAATCCAAACAGGGCTGAAGTTTATACCCAATAACTAGTTAGCTTGTGAATGTCCTAATTTTATAATCATAGTGTGGAATGTGGATTATTAATGAAAATAGATATCAATTCGTAAACTCATGTATATATGACTATAAATAGGGTTCCATAATCATGGATAAGGAGCGTCAAGTCGTTAAGAAAACCATTAATAACTGTCATCCTGGCGTCCATCAACACTGGATATGCCGAATCCAATTTTTTTTTTTTTTTGGTTTTTTTATAACGATTTTTTCTTATGTGTTAGAACCACAGTTCAGTTCCTCACAAGTCACTACCTAGAGTGATGATATCATCTCTCTTCCGATAGATCAATCTCCACGTAGATCAATTAGAGCAGAGCAAACAGAAGAGCCAGGCCAGGAAGGAAGATCGAAGCGACCGACGTCTGCAGAGTGGGAGCGCTGTTGAAACCAGGGGAGGAGGAAGCAGGGGGGCTTCGGTGGAAGAAATGATAGGGCTCGACTGTGCCGGCGCAGTAGACTCAGTAGCTGGAGGCACAACAACAGAAGTTGTGGAAACACCAGGGAGAGTTGTGTGCTCGGTGGGAGGGGCAGTGGACTCAGTAACTGGAATACTGGGATGGGTAAGCACCACGGGAGAAGTTGTTTCAACAGGAGGGGGAATCGTGGGCTTGGTGGTAGGGGCTGTGGACTCAGTAGCTGGAATACTGGGATGGGTAAACACCACGGTAGGAGTTGTTCCAACAGCAGGGGGAATCGTGGGCTTGGTGGTGAGGGTTGTCGGTTGAATGCAACCCTCAGTGCAGGTGGAGACAGACGTCACGGTGATCGTGCTGGTCTGGGTCACGGGATGAGTGTAGGTTGTGGTCCCGCTTGTGATGGTGCTCCAGGTCACTGGTTCTATCAGCAGTTGTAATTGATGGGATATCCAGACTTTTACTTACCTGGGCACGTGGTAGTGGTGTAGGTTGTGGTTATCACGACAACCGGGGGAGGACCAGTGGAAGTCTCGGTCTCACAGGGAGTAGTAGATGCTGGAGGAGGCGTGATGGGAGTCATAGTTTTACTAGTCGTAGTGGTAATAGGAGGAGGCATGGTGGGAGTGTCAGTCTCACAGGGAGTCGAGCTGGCAGGAGGAGGAGCAGTAGGGTTATCAGTCTTGTAAGGAGTTGAGCTGGCAGGAGGAGCAGTGGTAGTGCCAGTCTCACAAGGAGTCGAGGTCGGTGTCAGAACTGGGGGAATAGTAGGCGTGCCGGTCTCGCATGGAGTGGAGCTCTCGACCGGTGGGGTCGGTGTATCAGTCTCACAAGGAGTCGAGGTAGATGTCACAACCGGGGGAGGAGTAAACGTCCCAACTGGGGGACTGGTAGGCGTGTCGGTCTCGCACAGAGTGGAGGTCTCGACAGGCGGGGGAGTCTCAGTTTCGCATGGAGTGGTCTCTGCTGGGGGGCCATCTCCGCCGTGATCATCGCCGCCATGATTACCATCACCGTGATCTCCGTGGTCACCGCCCCACCAAGGACCGTCGTCGCGGTCTTCACCACTACCGCGGACAGCAATGTGAGCCTCACCGGCAAGTCTGGGAGTAATGACCATGCCAGACGCCAAGGTCACGGCGTAGAGTAGAACGATTGGAGCACCCCGCATCTTGACTAGCCAACGAGTGGTTATTATGTACTAGAATGGATTGGTCTCGTTTGTAGATAGGGCTGATATGTCCCTTGGAACGAAGGACGATAGGAACCGTAGCGAGAGAGTTCCTAAACGAGCAATATAAACAATTGAAACATGTATTTCAACCAGTGAGGCTGGGAGTAGACGGGGAAATAAGGCAGGTTTATATATTCCTCTGGGGTATGACCTCCTCAGAGTCCCAATTCCTGTTTGGCTGGCTCACTTAATAGATTGGCTAGTGTGGACCAACCGGTGCCATATTGGGCAGTCAAAACAGGCATATGCCAGAAAAAAAAAGTGGCGAACATATTTTAACACCAACCAGAACCTGACGTGAACCAGCAGTCAGCAGTCGACCCGCATATTTCCAACGAGGAGGCTGGGCATAGTATGGTGAGTATCGGAACCCGGATAGGCGATAGCGCATGGACACGGGCCCGGTTGACTAGACGACCAGGTACTAGGGTTGAGCCAATGAGAACTTGACGTTGTCTCAGATATTGGCGTGCGGTTTACCGACCTCATAAAACCTGAATTGAAATATGCCAAACTCAAAGAGTCCAGAGCTCCATGCATGAGCGGATCAGCCAACTCTGATGCAGGTCGCTTCTTGGCAAAGAGATAGCTCTGGGGGGTTTTCCCACGGACGTAATCGGTTAGATTTTGCAATTTCTGTTATCTTTTGTGATACTGATATGAAGTATGAAAATATTTCTATAAGTCATGAAACCGAGAATAACTCCTGTCTCAAGCTCCACACCATGTGTCCCGATAGAAATGTGGGGAAACCTCACGAATGACAGATGTGGAATTTGGAACTGAGAATACCCGACGGGAAAGTATAGAAAAAAGCAAGTAATAGTAGCCTCTGGTAAGTCATGAAAATAATCGGAGAGTCCGAAAATTGGTATCGGTAATACGCTGAGGGCTGGGCGATCCAATTCGCAGGCCATCGTAGAATGGCTGATCAGTTTTCTGTAGATCTGTTATGCGGAGTAGAGGGAGCAGTCACAACTGCCCCTGTCTACTGCAGGTTTACATGCAACAGAAAATCTCCCAATGGTAAGGGGACAGCGGACATTGACGTGCCCCTGTGTGCCCCTGTTTTCCTTCCCCCAGAACCTGCAGGGAAGTTCCCGAAGCCCTCGCGATACGGAGATCCCTATGGGTACTTGGTGATGTCAATGTGCTTGGCCTTGTGTGGCCTTTCCCTTTCTCTGGCCCTTTCCTTCCATTTTATTCTTTAATCTTTAATTTCAATTGCACTAGTAGTGTTTTAATATTCCTCTGATACAACATGGATGTTTTTTTCGTACCTCGTGGGACTACCTTAGCCCTCTACGACGTCTATATTATACGTCTTAAGACTTATATATCCAGGTCAATATCCTCCCAGCTTATTGGAATGTTCAATTAGACTGATGGTGCTGTCAATCTTTTGGCAAGAATAATGGGTTCGACGAGCTCTTGAACTTTGACAACTTGTCTGTAGGCGTACTCCGTACATGCACTTACATTAATTCCCTCACGCATGAAATCTGTGAAATTATTCAACTCTACGGTTGGGAAAATGCGGGGTAGGAGAACATGTGCCCTTGGAGTATCCAGAAATGTGCAGAAAGTTGGGATGTCTTGTAAATTCTCCAAAGCCTAAAAGCAAAAAGTCCCCAGCCTTTTTACATTGTACATTTGGGATGTTTTATAGTGGGCTTTGAGCCACAAAATTCTTCTAGCTCTTTTCCTGGGAACAATTAAACCGTAATATATTGGGCCTGTAAAGGGAGGCAATCAGAAACCGGCCATATACCCTGTCTTTTTTTGATTGCGATGATATCAACATACTAGATTCTAATCTAGTGCCTAGTCATCCTCGTCGTCCGAGCCACTACTCCACCCTGTCTCGTAGTACTCTCGAATCTCACCGAGTCCGTTGACCAAGGCCTCACGCTCATCAACTGAGACCAGGCGTGCGGCAGTTGCCGAAATAGCCTTGATCCTCTGAGCTGTCCGTGTCGAGGCGGTCAATGCGGTAAACACATTTACTCCAGCACCTGTCTCGGGGGTGGGGAACATGTCGTGCGGGAAACTGTCAAGAATAGGCATGCTGAGTGGCGTGTGGAAACTATCACGGTATAGAATGTTAGCGTCCTGGCTGAGACAGTGAAAGTAAATGCGAAAAACAGGAAACCTACCTTTGCAGCATCGCCTCGGAGTTGTATCGTCTGAGTTTGCGAAGGTGTCCAATGTCGCTGTCCTCCGTAGACTCGCTGTCCCTTTCCGGTTCGTCTCCACGGGTTACTTGGACTTGGTTGAAGATATGAGCGCCCTTTATGTACTCGCCGTCATAGGCGAAGTCAATGTCAAATTCAATTTCGGCTTTGGTCGGTCCATCTTCATTGGAGGCCTTGGTTTGACCATCATTGATTTTGATTTTATTGATGGAAGATTGTAATTCGAAGATGGTGTGCGTGCCATCTTCTCCGGCGAGAGAGGCCTCGAAATGCTGATATGGCCGCAATCTGGAAGGCAGTGTGACCGATTCAATGGCTGAGGCTATCAGGGCAGTTTTCTGCCATTCTGATTGGCGATCAACATTGAGGTAACCGGGCAGCTTATGCGGAACGTCAATAATCGGAGAATAGAGCGATGCCAGTGGGGAGATCGAGTAAAGCGACCTGGCCTTGTTCGTATCCTTCTTGAACTGGTGATGCTATATTAAAGTTCGAAACTTAGCCAACCGAGCTCGCGATTCTTCAAAATGACACCGCTGTGTCACTTACCCGTTGTCTTTTCGTACCATCCTCAATAGCCCAGACCCAAATGCTTTTCTTTCCGAATTCATCTCTGAGTCTTTCCATATACTGGGCAGTGAATCCGCCCCAGGCATCATCTGACCCGGAGAAGAGTTGCAGTGCTCGCAAGTGGTCACATTCTTCAAGGAGAGGTCTCACGTCCCGATCCAGTAGATCATGCTCCTTGTCAAGATTTTTGAATAACTCTTCTCCAACATTCCAATCCTCAAAAGGCATGGTCTGGGAGTTCAGTTCGTATTCATTCAACTGAACAATGGACCTAGGATGATAGAACACTCTGTTATAGTCTGACCAGTAGCGTACGGGCTCTGAGGTCAGCCGAGGGGCTGGAGTGCCCAGATCCAAGCTTTTTTGATATTCACTTTGCTGAATCGGAGTTTGCTTCTGGACTATTTCTCGTCCATCCCTGTCAGACGTTAGGTTGAGAATCTTGTCCATCAATTTGAGCCACATACCATAAGCCTTGACCTGCCGTGGAGTCTTCACTTAGCTCATAGAGTGCATTGTATCTGCGCAATGTTCCAAATCCGCCCTTCAGATCATAGATTACTGTGCGTGGGGTGTAAGTCTCGGAGCCATCTGCTCCAACACCAGGTCGAAAGTGAACATCATGATCAACATCAGACTGTTCCCCATCGTATGTAAAGTATGATTCCTAGCTATATATTAGAATGAACTTCATATATGACCGTGGATGACAGTACCTGCAGATTCCAAAAATGGGTTGCTAGGTAGTTAGCCCTCTGGCCAAGTTGAAGTGTAACAATTTCATGCATATTGATGGATGCAAATGACCCTCACAGTGTAGCCCCTCAATAAATTTTGATATCGACAATGCCCCAAAGACGCACAGACATAGCCAAAAAGGGACGCTAGGCCTGATGTGGTGGGGTACCGCACGTGAGTCTCTAACCATATAAGGGAAGGTGCAGAGAGTCACCAGGGCAACACTCACATGATCATTCCAAAGAGGGCAATAAACATCCATGTTTCTGTGGGTGCGTCACCACCCTAACTCCACAACGGTAATTTTCCCTCGTGAATCTCCTTCCTTATTCCTGTGATGCTTTTTTTGACCCTGTGATCTTCATCGGCTGGATCCATTACTTGTCACGAATCAGCTGCGATGGAGTCTCCGACGCGTCCTATCCTAAGCCCCTCAAAAGCGCTGCATCCGGTTTCGCCGGAACGCATGAATCAACAAGCCATACCCGGCTCTCCCTCAATACCTTCCGATCTCCTCACACTACACCACAAGAGCACCCGAGGTGTTTCGGAAGTTCAAGCCAAAGTGGCGTTTCTAAATGGTCTATCTCGAGGAGGCAGCCCTGCCAACTCTGCAGCAAGCAATGCCGCTCTACAACGGGCTATCATGGGCCGCGAGGAAGCTGAATCCGCCCTAGCCACTGCACAGGAAGATCTATCCGAAGCACAGACACGCGAACGCCGGATCAGTGAACGCCTCGAATCATTGCTGGAAGAGCTACACGGGACGAAAGAACGGCAGGGCCACGAACGATCAATTTTCGAAAAAGAAATCCGAAAAGCCCGCAAAGAAGCGTTTCGTGCTGGATCGACCTTGGTAAAACTTCAAGAAGAATTGAAGCACGCGAAATCAGAGGTCAGAGCACTGAAAGACGAAGTGGCAGCAGAACGCGAGTCGAAGGACAAGGCCAAACAGGAGGCATTCGAACGCGCCTATGCTCTCGCTGGTCTTACAGAGGAACTTGAAGTTCTGAAAGAGAAATTTCGTGCCCTTGAAACCGACAACCACTCGAGCACCCTCGAAGTCCGCGCCCATGAGATTCGGAAAGAAGACTTTGGGAGACTGTCAATAGCAGAAGGTGATCTCGCGTTTTTAGCGACACCGCGGAGACCGAAACGAGCGGCTGCGGGATCTGTTCTCTCGCCAGCCCCGGCACACGAAGAAGACCATGCAGAAGCCACTCCTCCCAAACGCCCCCGTTTGTCGGACTGTGCACCAAAGACGGAGAGTGAAGAGCACGCATCCGAGACGGCTGCTGAACTGGACGAGGATCTGTTGGAGGGGATTAAAGAAGAGCTTGACTTCGAGCGTCGTCGCAGAGTCGCAGCCGAAGAGATGGTGCATTTCCTGAACATTGAGTGCCAGTTCGAACGCTGCTCTTGCAGGCTGGCCGAGAGCCAAGGTCGTCGCTACATCTACGATGCTGATTACTATAACAAATTCCAAAAGCCTCAGATTGAGGCGGAAGAGAAAGCTCGTGCTCAGCAAGCCATCATTGAGCAAGCTAGCGTGCAACAAATCCATCCTCACCCATCCAGCACCCCTGAGGCCAGTCCTCCCCCTCCTCCACCCCCCCGTCCACCGATCTCCTGTTCACCAGGCCTCCACTCCCATGGTGAGATCTCCTCGGCACAGTATCCACCAGGAAGAACCCGAGCCAAGTCGTACCCCTCTGGCCGCGCCACCTGTTCCTGTCCACCAGCACACCGCCCCTTCCGTGAAGGCCGAACCTAGAGACCTGCCCAAGATGCAGATGCCAGCCGAGCCTCTGGTAACATTTTCTCCCGAGACCGGCACATTCACGACATTCCCATCTCCTCTCCGAGATAATGTCAAACCTCCGCGGTTGGATTTCTTCGACACACCCGATTTCACTGAGCCTCAACCAGATGTCCGCACACGTCATAACGATGCCTCTGCATCACCCAACCAACAGGTCGACTCGTTTACCCCCTCTGGGGAACCGGTTTTGACCAGAATGCCCCATCCCATCCCATCAGATGGTGTCGCCGAACACTCGCGTGCCCCACTGTCTGTGGAAGCAAGACCATCAAGACGTGTCGAGAGAGAACCCTTTGGACACCGCCAGCCCATCAACCCCCCGAAGAGAGTTCCTTCCCGACAAGAGCCACAGTCACAGCGCACTTCGCACCCTGGCATTCCCGATACGCCCATCGACCGCGAACAAGCGCTCGCACAGATCAGGGCGCGACGAGGCCGTACCCACAGCAAGCAGCGATCAGTCAGTGCCAGCGAACCTGGCCGCGTAGCTCGCACCTCAGCGGGATCCAACCCGACCACTGCTCGGGGACCTCGACGCCTTCCTAACCCCAATCTTCGGGCCGATTCAAGGGCCGAAAACGAACTCGGTGAACGCCGAGATATGAGTGCTCCTGTTCGGATGTTCCGACGTTAATGAATGCCCTGGGATGTATATGTCCCATGATGCATATTTATGTCTTTCTTTTGCATGGTCTGCTGGTGCTTGTCATTTCCTCTAATACCCCCCCTCGGCGCTGCATCAATTTGTCTTTATTTCATTTGCATCGTGACTGGAAGCAATATGTCTTGTTTTGTGTTTGGATCTTTTAGCTCCGATGTTATGACCCTCATTATACTATGGATTAATTCTCCAACTGCCTGTCCTTCGTTTGATACAATCTCGACTCCAGTGTCTGTCCCTCTTCTCACCTTTCCTATGTCTTGCTTTTCTTCTTCTGTACATATACTTCCGCTACTGAGAGTGAATTTTGCATAATTTACGATGGTCAGAGTCTTCTTCATCCAGCAAATTTAGGTCATGTATGCCCGAACTATATTTAAATGAACCAACCATATGAAAATATGTATATTGACCTACAATGTATAATATGTGCCTAACAAAAAAAACCAGATCTCAAAGATAAAGCAGAGAACCAGCCTCTACAAAACCGAGATCCCACAACATCTAATCCTCGCACTATCAACCCTCGCACCACGATTCCACCACAAAGAAACCAACTCCTCAACAAAGACACGGTCCGTCGCACTCCACACATCAAGCCCCATCTCCGCCATATCCGCCACCGTAATTGTGACAGTGTCATTGGCACCTCCGCCGCGGTCACCGGCTCTCGACCCACGACTCGGAGACCCGCTCACGCTCGACCGCTGCCGGAGCAAAGGCGAACTCCCCTCGTCGCCGTGGATAGACTGGCGAGACATGGAGAGCGAAGCTTCCGCGTCATCATCTTCATCGATATACGGCGCATCATTATATGCATCGTCGTCGAGGTCGCTGTCATTACGTGCGATGGCGCCAGCCAATGTAACGAAGATCTGTGACGTCAGGCGGCGGAAGTACGCGACCAGCGCGACTTCGCGCGGCTGCTGGTCTTCGTGGAGTGGGTTACGGGGTGGTCCGGGGTTAGAGGTGGTGTTGTAAGGGGGTGAACGAGACTCTCAACGCTTGCCAGAAGGCGAGAGTCTTGTTCTATCTGCTGCTCTTCTTCTTCCTCTGAGAGGCCGTCACGGTTCTCGCCGGCCGAGGCCCACCAGATGAAGGAGGTGTAGGCGAGACGGGTCCAGGAGATGGGCTCGACGACGGGGCTGGAGGAATAGGTTGAGCCTGTATCTGAGCGGTCTTGGTCTTGGTCTGGGGATGTGGGGCGATCGTTGGGGAATTGGCGGAGTCCGCGGCGGAGCATGGAGTAGCGACGGGCGTCGCGTTGGGTTGCTTTTAGCTGGATTTGTTGGGCTTTGTTGGCTTTGCCGCCTGTGTTGTGGACTAGGGAGATTTGGGGGAAGGCTCGTTCGGCGGTTTGTTGTGAGTATGGTGCGGGGAGGGTAACGAGGACGTCGTAGAGATCGGGTTTCATGGTTAAGACGGTGTCGGTGGAGCAGGCGATCCAGCTTGGATCTGTTTCGAGGTTTATGATGCTGCGCGATGGATCGAAAGAGGAGAGGTAGGGGATATCGTGGATGCCGACGTTGAAGAGGGGCCGGGGGCGTAATGGTGGTATGCGATCGTCGGGAAGGAGCTGGAGAAGGGAGTTTGGCAATGAGGCCAAGAGAGAAAGATCATATACTGTATCTGGATTAGCAGTGGATCAATTGAAATGCGTGTAGGAGCGTACCATAGTTGCAAGATGTGTGTACAGGAGCCTCGCCCATGAAGAGAATGCGCTTGCGCAGTAAAGCTGCTCTGTAGAGGGGGAAGATCAAAGGTCCAAAACACTCCGTAAAATCTGGAAGCGATGAGGCGGGGTGGAAGGGCGTCAAGGCCGGCCTGAACGTTTCCAGTACTAGTGCATCGCTGAAGGCACGGTTGCGACTCTGATCTGGTCGCTCGCTGGGTCGGAATCGAAGACTAAGAGGCGAGTCGAGGGGGGACTCGGGCGCTGAAGAATCGTCCCCTCCTATCCTGTATGTGTCCCAATAATCGCACAGATGCTGCATATCTGACATATCCTCGGCGTATTTCCTATCGGCACCGGTGTCAGTAGGGATCTCGTCACGGGTGCCTGGCGATACGAACAGCGTGAGCTCCTTGAGCCTTGGAGCATGTCGCCAGCTCTTCCCAAGTCTTCCAGTGCTGAGGGGCACCAGAACTCCGATCGCAAACATCTTTGCATTGCGTTCGGCCTCCGTGGCGGGATGATTGAGGAACGCGCTGATACCGGCATACTGTTCATGAACGAAGTACCTAGAAGAGCGCATCAGCAAAGATCGGATCCAAAGCTTTTGAAGACTTTAATGAACATACACCAGGTCCTCTGTCACGTTGTGCAGCCCGGAGGGCAGTGATTTGTATTCCACAACCCCTTCAACCTCAACTATTCACCTGGGTGTCAGTGTTGCGCGTTGGGGCGATTGTAGCCTCGGCTAGATAACGGATTGCTCACCTCCCGGCGCAGTGCGCTTCCATGAGACCACATATCTATTGTCGCAAAATGTCAGCGATATGTTCCTGAGCTTGAGAGCTAAGATGCCCAGGGGAAGGAGTACGACTTACCCGGCTCTGATGTCGAAGCTGATGACGAACAAGGCGGCAATGGCTGGTGGCGACTCCATAGAGGAACGTGAGACGTCAACGCCCAATGGCCTAGGAGATTCAGATACCATTGTGAAGGAGAATCATGGAATGCGACAACATTCAAGCAGTGTCGGGGAATCACGGTAAGTTGAGGGGTGAGCCTAGTAAGGGACCTTGGCTATGCGGAGTTGATGCCTAAGGCAGCACATCGGGTCTAGACTTGTAACGTCGGACAAACTAACTAGGAACGACAATGTATCATCGATGATGAGAGCTTGGCCATATCGACATCCTCAGCAACATAATACAGCATCTACATATGGATCCGGTAGCTTCACTTCATTTTCTAGCGTTGTTAACCGGTCATATTTTATTGTTAAGGGCTTCTAGTGCTTTACATATAAAAAACAATAGCAGCTATTAACTATGTCAATACTTAAATTTATCTCATGCAAAAAATGCTCTTCTTCTATATTCTCTACCAGATCATGAGAGATGTCCAGAGGACATATTAATTGTATCAAAAACCTCGATAAGTGCTTAACACAAAATATATCTACCATACAGATAACCTTCAGATTCTCCATGATTACTCGTTCTCTTCACGAAGTTCCTCCAGTTTCTCCTGGTCAAAGATAGTGGTAGGACCCGTGAGTTCGTTCTTCAATGTTGAGATAGAAGGCACGAAGAAGTATTCGCCACCCCTTTGAATAACCCAGCTTTCCAGCGGCATGCGAGCCTCGGTAGGGAATTTGCCATCAGGAAGACCGATAGAGCGAGGTGGGTGGTGATCCAGTCTCTGACCCACGAATGCGTCAATACCCGGACCTTCACCACCGACAAAGTTGGTCTTGCGATCGGGGAAGTGGTGGTTGCTTGCCCAACCTAGAAGAATCAAATGTTAGCCAGGGGCCTTTCTCAGATTGTGCACGAGATCAAGTTTCAAATGCTTACGGGTAGTCAAAAAGTTAAATCCATTTCGGATATCACTCTGGTAGCAGACGAACAGAAGACCACGCTCTTTATCTTCAGCGGACTTTCGCTCGGTCATTTCTTCGGCTGAGACTTCATCACCATACGGAATGCCACGACGGATAATAACAGCATGGTCATGCTCCAAGTCAGCTCGTGGTCTCATTTTGCGGGTGTGCGCCGCAAATGGGCACTTCAAGTGCTCTGTGACGGGGTGGTAATCGAAGTTGTTTGAGTCGAAGAGGCTTTCGTCAGAGTCATCATGAGGAGACTCATCCACAGGGGTTCCTGGATGTTATTTTAATTAGCAAATTGTTACGCAAATCTTTTAATTTTCTTAATTCGCCACGAACCGTTCTTCCATCTTCCCATCAAGTATGCAGCAAGCTTTTCGGCTGGCTTGGGGTGGTCTTGAGTAAAGGGGGCGTGGCGGGCATTTTCCTCCATGAACCTATAGACTTGGTCAATACCGAATAGGAAACAGCGAAACAAGCACAGGTTACTCACTCGTCGAATTCAGGAACAAGCTGCTGAAGGTCACGGAAAACAAGGAAACTGCCATCTTTCGCCCATTCTGGTTGGCCCATAGGGTCACCCTCATGCCCGCAAACAATCAATCTGCATGTCATTAGTCTAGTCCTCCATTCAACAACTGTGAGCACATACCCTGACTTGGTGGCTTTCGGCTCCTTGCCCTGGGGCTTTTTATCATCCCAGCCCTCAATGATAGGCTGACTGATTCCGTCCTTGAATCCAAAGCTAAACACAATGGTAAGTTTGGCTCGTAAAGCATCCCTAGTCGTTTGACAATCACTCACTGCTCTTTTCCTTTCATAGCGCCTGGGCGAACCTTTCCTTCTCTAACCAGGGTCAACTCTATAGAAGGGTTCTGGCTGAGCCTATAGGTGTCTGGGTTGAGAGGTTCTCCCTCCTCGGCTAAGAAATGTTGTTTCACCTCTTTTATCTTGGCATCTAAACCAGACTTCAGGCTGGAGGTGACCATAATTACACCATCAATGAGTCTCTCATTGTCGTTGGTGGGTTGGTATTCCTTTCGAAGCTCCTGGGGATTGTCCCACCCCTCGCCCACAAGATCCGCATACATGCCTTTTTCGAACAGCCCACCACGGAGTTGTTGCTTTCGAAAGACTGTAGATAGTTCTCTATCCTTTTTCACAAGAATTTGATCATTGGTATTCACAAATGCGCCAAGCTATGAGTAGTCTCTCATCAGTATTTATTCAATATCACTCCAAACAGTTAACTTACAGCTTCAAGGCCGGTGGAGGTAAAGGCGATGTTGATTCCCGGTAAAGCTTGAAGCTTAGCTGATCTCTTCGCTAGTTGGGCATCCTTCCTGGCCTGCTTAATGATCTCGCTCATTTGACAGGCATCTTGGCCCGTGGTAATCTTGGGAATAAATGTCTTCAGTCGGTTCTTGAAATCAACTTGGTTGCGAACGCGAAAAAAGAGAAAAGTTTGAAATCTCTTGGGGAGACCAGGCCTGATTGAGATGAGTATTTTTGAAAGACCATGTCGATATATGGATATTCGGCAGCACGGGAAACTTACCAAACATCTCCCTGGATATTTGCCTTGATGGCTGAAGTCAGACTCATGATGGACAGTTGGACTCTTAAAGAGTGAACGATCCAATATCAATGAAGGCTACTGTCAAACCATCCGGGTTGACCTGAGGTAATGGGGTAATTATATGAAAAGAAGGGTGGCACGCCGTCTTGAGACCCAGCAACAATTCCATTTTCCAAACAAATTTTTTTTAAAAAAAAAAGAAAAAAAGAAAAAAGAAAAAGCAAAGGAAGGAGGCGGGGCAGAGCAGGTCTGTGATTGCGCAGCACATATCACTGAGCTACTGGATCGGATCGCCCATTACGGAGTAGATATGGGGCATGTTCGACACCGACATTAGCACCGAGTGAGCTCCAATAGCAACAATCGATCGCAGCCACACTAAGTTGTACGGGCATCTCTCGAGCGAGAAGGGAAGGGGATACTCGGTATTACGCCTTGACGACGATTGACTCGAGTTAGCGAACTCACTGCCCCACGGGCCATTAATTGAAGGAATTCCTAATCTAGAGATGATCATAGGCTCGCGGTTCTTCAGATAGCAAGGATCAACATAGTCCATCTGGCAGTCACTTTTGACGGGTGGGTCACTTTCAAGCAAATGAGATGGATACTAGAATATCACGAACGTATCGCGGTTCCTGCGGGCTGGTACAACATTTTGATTGCATTAGTGGAGATCTCGGAATATCCATATCTGGCAATGTAAGTTGTATATCGATGCACACCGCACAGATCTCTAGGCTTCGCTGGCTATTTATTACGTATGTTGCGCCGGTACAATATAGCTGCACCTGAATAAAGGGGTCCTTTCTTACATTTTGGTCGATAAAAGGGTATGGAACAAGAACCAGCCATTCATCGTTGGGGTATTGGATATAACATTGTAGGTATGCAGGACGTGGACGTGCTCACTCAATTATTCCCAAATTACAGAGAAATCAGAGTGGGCCACAGTGCTTTCAGCTTTCCACTTTCCACTTTCCACTTTCCACTTGACAAATTATGGGTCATTATATTCCATTTGTAGCTCATTTCTGCGAGGAACATATCTCACATCTGCAGCAATGTAGTATATAGGGCAAGAATGCCGATAATGCGTAGGGGTGTTCAGCTGAAATACTTCCACCTACGTGGTATTCAGGGTTGAAGATTGGCCCTTGATGGATCCATGGATGTCTCAGCGGAAGCGGGCCGGGCTCCACCTAAATGCCGCTAGCACGAACTATCTACCGAGAGGACATCTCTCTTTGCATATTGTTCTTCTTTCATCTATGATCGACATGCAGGAGTTTTGCTCTAAATCGACGATCCCCAATTGGTCAATTTTCGGTTGTTCAGCCGTGACAACAAATTTCAAGGGCGTCCAATCTTGGAAGCCCCACATGTAATATGCAGACTGGGAATAACCTCACACAGCTGAACTCCCCATCTACGTCGGAGTGGGTTTGCAACCCGTGTCTTTCTGCAGGAGAGGCCGATCATTGACGTCTGGCCGAGCATCGCCGATCGAGTCTAACTTTGGGGGGATTTTCTTCATCGATCTAAAAAGGAAGTGCCCAGTCACATCGTACTACGCAAGGTGGGCCCAGCCAACCACTGACGTTTATCTCTCATGCTCATCGTCAGCAATGTCAGGATCGGTACTTGACTGGAGGAAAGCATCCCCACCTGGCCCCCGAAGAGATCAGGCTTGTCATAGTTTGCGTAATATTGGCATAGATTGCCAGCCACTCCGTACTCCGGGCTGAAAATCTCCCTTGAATCCTAAATGAAAGTAGCACTCTGCTCATGCCGAGTAGTGCCCTTATATGTGCCCCTGCTCACGTCAATAGTTTATTTTCACTCAGGTGAAGTGAGCTTCTTTTTCCCTCTTTTCATATTCTCTTTGCCCTTCGATAAACTTCACCCAATATGAAGTTTCAATGGGTCGGGCTCCTCCTAGGGGCCTCGGTTGGAGTCAATGGTATGGCCAAATACATGCACGAAGCTATGAGAGGAGAGCGTGTTTCTGGCTATGGCAAAGCCGACAATCCCTCCACGCTCCCGCAGTTCAAAGATGAATCTCCTCCATATCGCGGCCATCGAATCTCCCGTGAAGACTGGATCTTGAAATGCAGCAGCTCTATTTCCAAGTTCCCATGCAAATATGCGATCGATGGCAAGAACACTACTTCCTGGCGCAGCGACCGCTCCGACAAGGGACATGAATTCATGGTTGATCTTGGAGCGTGGTACCAAGTGAGCGCCGTCGTTATCCAACCCCCAGCTGAAACGGAGCTGGAAGGTCTCATTACCCAGCACAAGGTCTGGGTCAGCCAAGATGGCGAAGAATGGACCGGACCTGTTGCATATGGAATGTGGCCTAATGTAAACAGACAGCGAATGTCTGCGTTTGAACCATCCTCTGCCCGATACTTAAAAATTACGACCAATCCCGACGATGAAAATCCTTGGGTCGGTATCGCCGAACTCAACATCTATGGAACTCTGTACACCATTCCTCGTGACCCTGCTCTCGGTGTTTGGGGGCCAACTCTTGATTTCCCCATTGTACCTGTCTCCGGTGCTCAGGAGGGATCTGGTATGCTTACTCTATGGTCGTCGTGGGCCGATGACCTATTCCACTCGACCCCGGGAGGTAAGACTGTCATGACCCGATGGAACCCATTGACCGACGAGGTCTCCAAGCGCACTGTCAGCGAAACCCACCACGACATGTTCTGCCCCGGCATTTCTTATGACGGCACCGGAATGATGGTTGTGACTGGCGGTAATGATGCCTCCGAGACTAGTCTCTTTGACTCTGTCAATGATGAGTGGGTTCGCGCAACCGAAATGAAACTCCGTCGTGGATACCAGGCGTCTACAACTCTCTCTGATGGACGTGTCTTTGTTATTGGAGGCTCATGGGCTGGAGCTTCGAATGTTGATAAGGATGCCGAAGTTTACGACCCTGCTACCAGAAACTGGACTATGCTCCCCGACGCCAAAGTCAGCGCGATGTTGACCAAGGATATGGAAGGTCCTTGGCGAGCGGACAACCATGGCTGGCTCTTCGGCTGGAAGGATCTGAGTATCTTCCAAGCAGGGCCTAGCAAACAGATGAACTGGTACTCCGCTCATGACAATGGAAGTGTTCAGGCGGCAGGACTTCGCATGCGGGATGAGGATTCCATGTCTGGCAATGCCATTATGTTTGATGCCGTGAAGGGAAAGATCCTCACGCTCGGTGGCTCTCCTGACTATGATAAATCGTGGGCCACCAATGCCGCCCATATTATCACGATCGGCGAACCAGGTCAACCGCCGAGGGTTGAACCAGCCGGAAAAGAAGGCGCTATGCACTATGAGCGTGTGTTCCACACTACGGTCGTTCTCCCCGATGGAAAGGTTGCCATCTTCGGCGGTCAGAAGTATGGTGTTGCTTTTAATGAGGAAAACGTCCACTTTATTCCAGAACTCTATGACCCTGAAACCAACTCTTTCCAGAAGCTACAGCAGAACAATATGGTGAGAGTGTATCATACCGTCTCAATCCTCCTCCCAGATGCTCGGGTATTGAATGCAGGCGGTGGTCTTTGTGGCAATTGCACAGCCAACCACTATGATGGCCAGATCTTCACTCCTCCTTATCTCCTTACGGATTCTGGAGAGCCCCGGCCCCGTCCTGAGATCATTTCAGGCCTGCAAGATAAAGTCATGGCGGGTAGCACCCTGAGATTCAAGACCTCCGGCCGAATCTCGAAAGCTTCTCTGATCCGTCTGGGCACCAACACCCACACTGTCAACACTGATCAACGCCGCATTCCACTTGACGTTACTACTACGCCATTCTTCGGTAGCACCTACAAAGTTAGACTGCCAAAAGACACTGGTATCCTAATTCCTGGATACTGGATGCTCTTCGTTATGGATCGGGATGGCGTTCCTAGCATCGCAAAGATCATGATGATCACCGTGGACGACAGGAAGACCATCCAGGGTGCACAGGACCCCGAGGAACAGAACCGTGAGCATGAATCTCTCCTGACTTTATGGTGGTCTTAGAAACGCTAACACTAACTGTACAGCCATTGGGTCGTCGTTTATGAGGATCGAGTTGCTGAAGAGAAAGTGGTTTTGAGGAAAGCTGGCATTCTTGGAGAGTCCGAAACTTGGAATGCCATCATGTTGGGTCTCTTGTATAATAGATATAGTGTGTTTAACACAACTATAAAGAGTAGAATGTGACAAGCTACTTCAAAGAATAGTCAAGTTTGAAATGTGGTTTTGCTGTACTCCAAAAGATAGAGCAAACGTATCGTCATACTAGTAGTCTACTTGGTATGGACGTTTGTTGCCGTTATGTTTTTAAGTTTAATTTTGGATGCGTATCTCTGTTTCCTTTTTGATACATAACTCATTTTCCAGCGTGGCGCCTACAGAACACCGTACCTTTACCGCAGCTGGCGTATTCTCATAGACAAACAATGCATAGCAATGCTTGAGGATATCAAATATGCTGTTTAGCCTTGACAGGGACAGAAGGCATGCCATCACCACCCATCCCATCACCAGGCCTTCGATTCTCATAAGATATCCTCACCTCATTAACTTGGTAGATACCAGGTGACCGAGGAGGTGCATGTTGCAGAATATGTTTCGTGTCTGTATCCTCTCCGTGCTCTTCATTGGTCCCACTAGCCCTGGACTCGTCATCCATGTCTTTGCCATTGACGGTGGTCGTTGTTATTGTGTCCATGGCAAAGGTCGGCTTTGCCCTGCGTTCGCTGCTGCGTCCACCGCTGTCTTTTCCATAGGGAGGGAGGTTGTTATAGTATGAAGCGTCGGTGGATGAGTCGTTACCCCGGATGGAGCGGTAGAGAGGACGAAGCGCGGGGATGGTCACGCAAATTATGGTGGTGGTAAGTTCGGACATTGTCCACATCACCGAGTCGGTTGTTGCATCTGTTCTGTGATCAGCTTGATTTATCGGCAAACAGACAGTGATCTAGGAACCCACAGAGATAGTCAGTTGATTGGGTTAAAGCGTCGAGACCTGTTGTTCGGATTACACCGCAAATTCCGGCACTATCATAATGTGTCAGTAGGATAGAAGGGGAAGACCATAACTGAGAGACTAATGAGCCAAGAGAGAAGAACTAACAAAATACCCAGACTCAAGGAGAGGCAAATGGTATATTTCTCCTTTTTCTTCATGTTTAAATTCCACAGGGCCACCCATGGGAACAGAGCGAGAACAAAGTCAAGGACGGCGGACCATGCTATATTTTGTTAGACCAACTGGAGGCAGGCTGTGACTGGAGGGACAAAACCAAAGCATACCGCACATGATTGTGGCCATAATTGTAAGATTCAACGAGCAGCCATTACTCGGGACTCGCGAGTCCCAGATCGACTGAACTGGTGTACATTGTGCAAACACAGTGATAGCCAGAAGAATGCTTAGGGCCATGATAGTGATATTCCAGAACCACAGGAAGATCTTGTGCCTACTACTAGTCAGGTAAGGTTCTTAAAATTCAAGCTTGTAGAAGAGCATACCATCTTTTGACAACAATCCGCATAAGGAAAGCAGCGACAGCACACTTGCTCAACCCCATGGAAATTGCTATAACGCTTTGCGCAATCAAGAGCAGTAGCATTCCCTGCGGAGTCTCCTCGACTCCGAGTTCACTCGCATGCACACCCATACCATGATGTGCAGATGCTGTACAGAGGCCAGAAAAGGCAACCATCAGAGCCTATAACCCGCCATCACACGTCAGCAAAGTATTCAAGAGCTACTGATGTCCCATAAAGTCACATACCCAAGCGACAATAAGCAGTAAGTCATCCCAACCGATACTGTGGCGGATCACAGTCCGTGTGTAGACTCGTAGTGCAAGCACAATCATACACAGTATTGTTTCGAACCACAGTACTCCAACCAACGTAGGACCCTTACCACGGAGAGCCATCTTGGATGTGGAATCAAGAGTCAGGTGTAGACACAATGTTACTCAACATTGCTTCCTATTGCCCTTTAATATACTCGCGCACCAGAGCAAGGAACAGTAGTACTAAAGTAATAGGGGGCTAATGATCTTGAATTATGATCTATTCTGACAGCGGTGATCCCAATCCACTTCTAGCTAGGCATAACGACTTAACATACCCTTGGGAGTCATAGAACAAAAAGAAAAATTAATAATAAAAATAAAACAAGGATCAACACAGGTACCACTTCCAGCGTCATGGTACGATCATAGCTAGTCAATCATAGTGGTGGCGATAACTGGCTCGATTGCATCCTACATTGTGAATGTTCGGATAGGCAGCACTTCAGCTCTCTATTTCCTCTTCTATTTCTCGAACCCCGTGAATTTTGACATCTTCCTTCGTAGAGCTTCCTCTTTCAATGTTTCATCCTGGCCACATCATGTGTTGCTGTGATATATGATACAAATTTCAAGCCCTGTCAGAAATTGGGAGACACTATTTGGAAGCTCACCCATGCTAGGGGCGAGAAGCAAACGATGCATCGCGCAGTACCTTTGTGAACAAGGGTGTGTATATATCCGCCGTACCCTGTACTGGCGCGTGACTGGTGTCTTAATGCCTGCAAGTGGTTTGCTCCAGCGGAAAAGAAGCATGGTGCTTCCGCTAGCTTGGTGTGGGCCTCGGAATATCCACGAGGCGACCTCCGGTGTTTTACATAGGTACATATAGAGGCCAGAGCCTTCAAAAGTGGATCAGCCCATCACATTCATATGTGTATCGATTCCGAATCATTTGTATGAAGGACAGCTGGAATTACTGTATTTCTTAGCATTGATCTGACATGAAAAGATTGGGAAAGGTGGATCTATATAAATAGAAGCATGTTAAATGAGATTTCAAGTGGAGAGTTGACGACTTGGCTATCAAATCGTCTACTCCGTCCGTACTTTGTTTAGGCGGGTTACGCGCACTGACCCGATCGACAGCGCCAGCCGCCTTGGCAAAGCCGCGAGCCGTCCGAGACGATGGGCTGGAAGGATTATTTCATGGATCCACTACTTACTCCGTATCTCAGAATGTCTAGGAAAAAGGTACGGGTGGAATGCGGTGGTCACATTGTGGATGCTAAATTAAAATTTTATACGGAGTCGCTATACAGAAACTTCAACTATCGGGGAACAATTTAGTCCACGTACGTAGTTTAATTAATTCGATATCCCCCAAGATTGTTAGGGCACCTCTGATACGAGCTATGACTAGAGATTTACGAGACCGCATATATGATATGTAAAGGTTGATCCATAGTAGCTCGTTAACCTTCTACCTACGAAAACCCCAGTTGGCGCGATGGACGCAAAAAGCTACCGTGGTCAATCGACGCATGAGCCCTTGGATGAGGTCATCTTGTTGTTTAGACTGTCCCCTGCGAGCTGGTATCCTCCACATCAAGGGCATCCTGAAGCTCCATCTCGACCTTATCGCCGAACTTCCTATTGATCTCCTCAAGACTCATTCCCATGGTCTACAAAAAAAAAAAAAAGACTTGTTAGATGCTAGTTTAACCGTCCATGAACAGGAATAAAAACATACCTCGGGGAAATAGAGCATTATGACAATAGTACTTGCAACGGTGACAGCAACAAACACCATATAGAACTTCCATCCAATATTGGTAAGAGCTAGTGTAACAGGCGCGCTGTATGCAACAGCATTGCCGAAGAAACTGACCAATGCAATAGTCGCTCCCTCGCTGCGTAGGTGTGTCGGCCAAATTTCTGAGCCATAAACGTATGCGGTACATTCAATGGTGGAGGTAAAGAAGGCACCGAAGATGAAATATATCGCCACGGCACCATTGATGCCTGGCGTGTAGGTTGTGTTGAGGTAGAACTTTTCAAGAGCGGCCATGACGCTGATGATAGCAGCGGAGCCAAACCCACCGATCACTGCGAATGTGGTGGTTAGTATATAAGATGGTACACAATCCAACGGCAAAAACGGCAAAAGGTCCCCAACTCACCCAACAACTTGACTCGTCCTACTCTGTCCAGGAGGAGAACATTAATTCCACAACCAATTACCGCGCACACGGTCCAGACAACGCCAAGTCCAAGTTGCATCGTGGTACCAAAGCCCAGCGTGCCCATAAGTGTAGGGATTAAATTTGCAATGGCAGTGATACCAGTTCCTTGACCCATTGTCCATAATAGAATAGAACAGAGTGCGCGCTTGCGGTGAGATGATGTGCGCATAATATAGAGATAGCCGCTCGGAGTATCTTTCTCTGCGTCGACCTGAGCCTTGATTTGAACCGCTTCAGCATGAGCAAAAGCAGCTCTAGGGTCTCGCTTAGTACGATGCAGATATTCCAGCACCTGTGTAGCCTCCTCGTCACGTCCCTGCTGCATGAGCCAGCGAGGAGACTCGGGAATGAAGTATAGTGTGACCAGGTAGATGACACCCACAACAGTCAAAACGATGAAGACAAACCGCCACTGCATTTCAGTGGTGACAAAACTGAACGCCAGCGCGCAAACAGCGGCCAGGATATATGCCACCACCGTTCCTACACCATGGAGACCGACCAACATTCCACGTGTGTGTGGAGGCGAAATTTCACTCATATACACGGGGGTATTCGAGAATACCATACCCGCCCCAATGCCGCAGATGACACGCGCAACAATGAACATGGTGGCATCGACGGCACCAGCTTGTAAAGCACCCGAAATGATAACGATGACGGCGGCAACGGCGTTGGCGATTCGTCGACCGAACTTGTTGGCTAGGGGCGCCTGTAGGATAGCACCGACCAGGGCGCCTCCGAGGAAACTGGAGAATATATTTAGCCAAAGAGACCTTTGTCTGGCAGCAAAGTTGAACATACCCCCCAAGCATACCATCTTGTCGAGATGTTGCATCAGGTGTCGACAAGAACTTTGCGATGAAGGTTGTTTGAGAGAGGGAGCCAGAGAGGGCGTTGGCTGCAAATCCATATACGAATCCTCCTAGACATGCAGTGCAAACAACCTAGTTATCAAGTTAGCACCAGCACTGAAGCAAACAGAATTGGCCAAAGATACCAATATATTGACTAGACTGGTCTCTGGCACATCTCCACCCTTGACACTTTGCGTGCGTGTGACAGATCGGCTTTTCTCAGGATCCTGAGCTGGACTCTGAGATTCACCCATTTCAAATATTGGAAGACAGACAACAGGAAGGACTAGGTAAAAGAGAGAATTCCGCAAACTGGACTCGAGAAACTTTCATCGTCGCGGAAATCACCCCTATTCAAGTCTTAGCAAGTGTTATGGCCGCCACGCTACCTTCGCGGCGGCTCTACTTCATCCTGCAGCATACTGGAGGAAAAGTGGGTCCTGGACTCTTTCCTGAACTAGGCTGGACTGAGCCCTAGGTATGTGCTGGAGGGATACTAGTGGCTGGTAATAAATAGTAAGTATACACCGTGGCGAGGGTTGAGATGATCCATGAAGTACATACAGGCACAGGGTACAAAGTGCAGCTTAATTCCACGTCAATCGCCAAAGCCGGACGTTTTCAATATGAGGGCATTTACAAGGCACACCTTAGTTGGCCTGACTTTCTGAGGGGAATTGTAGTCATTATCCACGCTTGGATCGGCGTCTAGATGTGTCAATGAGAGGGAACGGGCGGCAAAAGAAAATCTCTTTGTGTAAATTAAGTACTTATGTACAATGCGTCTTGCGCTCCTTAAATAAATGGCACTAAGTAGGTTTGATTACCTTGTTCTTAAATAGGAGGTATAATAAGGCGATCACCGTCTGCTAGGGCCTAGACGGCATCGACACTAAATTGATATTGGCGTTTTACCAAGGCCGGGGATTCGGAAAGTGGGTCGTACTCCGCTGACCACTTGCGTTGACACAATAACGGTCGTTTGCAGGGAATGGGGCAGGGTATAGTCTGTGCTGGCCAATGCGAGGATAGACGAGGACAAATGGTCTTAAAAGCAAGAGGCCCATGCTGATCTACAAAGTTACACGGTTGTTGAACATAAAATCCTACCCGGCGATACTAAACCGAAACAAAAATTATTGTTTCGCCCCCTGTTCTTCACATACCCATATCCATCTGTCATCTAGCCGATCTTCTGCAGAATGAACGTACCAGAAGCGCCTATCTTCCCCCTTCTTGAAGGCAAGGTTGCCATCATCACAGGCGCCGCCCAGGGCATGGGCAAGGCTACCGCTTCTGTATTTCTCCGAGCAGGGGCCAAGGTAGTCATTGCCGATGTGAAGGCAGAGCAGGGTGCTCAGGTCGCAGAGGAGCTTTCTGCTTTGGGAGAAATCCGTTTTGTGGAGACTGACATCTCCAAGTCAGAGGATGTGCAAAACCTCATTGAGCAGACAGTCAGCGCCTTCGGCAAATTGGACGTGGCAATCAACAATGCGGCAATGTCTCCCGACCAGACTCCCCTGATTGACTTTGACGAGTCTTATTGGCGCAGATTGATGGATGTCAGTTTGACTGGTACCGCGCTATGCTGTAAATATCAGATGCAGCAAATGAAAAAGCAGGGCTCAAAGGGTTCTATTGTCAATATTGCTTCCATCAACGCATATTCACCACAGCCAAATATGCCAGCATACACGGCGGCTAAGCATGCACTGCTAGGCTTGACCAAGCATGCGGCAACTGAAGGTGGTCCTAAGGGGATCAGAGTTAACGCCATTGCGCCTGGAGCAATCTTCGTAAGCTTTTCCCATTCTGTAAGTCAGAGATGGTCTAACAAGAGCAGAGTGAAATGTCAGTTGCGGCGTTGGAGATCATGGGCACCACCCATGATGAGTTTGCGCCCAAGGTTAGCAGCTTAAACAGGTTCGGACAGGCCCACGAGGTAGCGCAGGGGTCACTTTGGCTTGCATCCGAATGTTCGTCATACATAAATGGAATTTGTCTGCCGATTGATGGAGGATTCCTGGCCAAATGGTAGTTAGCTCTATGTTACACATTAAACTATACCTACCTACATGTATGAAGCAGTATGTATCATGTTATAGGCAGGGTACTCGCTATATGCTCAGTAGGTTCACAGCAAAGGGCCAGTGGCTACTTTATTGAAAGCTATTTCAGTCTAATTGGCTTGGAAACCACTCATTTCTGCGATGCAGTATAAAGCTTCCGAAACTCCACCAGCACCCCATGCCGCAGAAGCGCCAGGTTATCAAAGCTCTCGATATGCGGTAACCGATACACGACAGCAATCACTGTATGCCACGTGCACTCTTGCTGGATTGACTCAAGTATCCGGGATTATGTTTCCCAGTCGACGCTGTTAGTCACCTCGTCCAATATGGGAGTGGTCAAGGACCGGGCCAGTGCCAGCAGTTGCTTCTCACCGTATGACCAGTCTAGCGCGTCGAAGGTGGCATCCAGCCCGTCCTTTCCGCGGATCGATTCCCATAGGCCCACTTTCTTTATAGCGATGACGATCCGCTCTTCCGATAGGGTGCCTCTGGGGCCGAAGCTATCACGCAGTGTGTCGGGGAGAAGGAAGGGGCCCTATGGGATGACAGTGATCTGTGCACGGATCGCTGCGGGGTGGATGGTGGAGATATTGCAGCGAACTGCAATGATCGAGAAGCCATCCTCGATGGTTGTTGATGCAGTCGTCGGTAACTTGATTTCAGGTTATGCAACACTGCAGATTTTGGAGAGCCATTTCGGACAGCTTGATCTCTGTGAGGCGCATGTAAAAACCGCGGTCGAGTCTGGCAGCTACTCTATGCTGACCTTCGTGTTGGATCGATGTTCAATCACCGAGGCCACGCCACCGGTGTTGTTAGCCGCCGCGGCTAAGGGCAGCTTGGAGATGATGAAACACCTTCTAAAATTGGACAATGCTGTTGTCACCGAAGATATTCTGATTGCAGCATCAGGAAATTACGACTGTAACGTTGACATGCTCAAGGTGCTTTGGAATTTCGCCCCGCACATCAAAGTTCCTCCTAGGATGTTCCTGAATGTTGAGGATTCATTTTTTTTATTCGAGTGCCACGGTTGTTGGATTTCTTTTTTCCCGAGTTAAAGATTCCAAATTGTGCCAGGATATTCTGAACGTAGTGATGACGACAAAGCAGATTCCAGACAGCTGGCACTTTCGGGCATCTGTGTCTGTTCTGAATTGTGTCCTCGAGAGCGGGTTTGAAATTGACGTGACCGATGAACTTGTGATCAATGCCTTAAATGCAGGCCAGGGGCGGCTTTTAAGGAGTTTCTTTACCCACCAGACAAATCTCGAAGTGTCACAGGATATGGTGAACACGGCAGTCGAGCTAAAAGACTATCGGGCCCTACAAGTGTTGGTCAGGCATGGGAACTCGCGTGGATTGAACCTGCAAGATGCAAGGTTTATTCTCGATAATTCAACGCCACCATCATGGAGATTTTTCGATGAGTGAGGTCGTCATTTTTGATTATTTTGTTCAAGAAGATAGTTGCCTGCATGATCAATCAATCCAGCGGCACAGAAATTGACTCCATCCTCAGTGCCCCATGGTGCAAGACCTCCCGATCAAGTTCATACTCCCCAATAGACGCATTGCCTGAACACTACACTGGATATTCCGTGCTAGAGCCGAGTGATTGTGTGATAAATTCAGTGGTATCTTGCCATGGGAGTCGCATAGTTCGCAAGTCCATTAGGTGTTGCTGAGCGGGGCAAAACGTGTGGGAAAGGGGGACTGGGGGTAAACGAAGATGAAGCGGCGAATGGAATTGAGAAGTTCAAGGATGCTGATACGCTGGATAATTGGAAGAAACACTAGACTTTATGGTGAGCCTAGAGGCTTTAATCACTGAAAAGCAGCACGCATTATCATTGTTATGGATCGTGTCTTTCATAATATGAGAGTGTTCGTGTAGAGTATATTCAGTCACCAATCAAAAATAATCAGTCGAGTAGTGAGAGCTTCCGAGTCAGCAAGTCTGCTTCACGCCGTTTGACCGAGAAAGAAAACTTGACGCCTTCGACATTGTTGCTTCAGGGCTTCTAGCAAACTGTGAATGAATATTATTTCCTGGTTACTACTAGCTTTGGTCTCGCGGATCCGGAGCTGCACTTCCTTTTTGGTTAGCTGCTTTAGCATACTTTGTACAATATTTATAGTTAGGACACGGCATGATTTATGCGCTAGTGTCCACATTCATTGGCCTTTTACGTCTGCCAACTATTGGAGTCAATCTATGTGGGTCATAGAATCGTTGCACATCGTACTTTTGTGCACATTAGTACCTCCGTACTCCGTATCAATCAAGTCGGGGATTAATCCTTCATTTCCGTTTAGCTTGTGAGCAGGCCAATAATATGGCTGACAAGACCCGTTAATACTGGAGCCAAATGTGCCTGCATCTCTCATAAACAGGCATACCCAGCTTGCCTTTGTCCCGATTGAGGTCCAATCTTGATCTTCGTATCAATCATATCAGCGTCAATATGGGTGGTTACCAAGGCGCGTTCCCTCGCATATACGAGGGAAAGCTCGCTCTAGTGACAGGATCCGCACGAAGTAAGTCCGACATTGGTCTCCATTGATCACCCCATACTGATCGTCTGTCAGGTATCGGGGCCGCAATAGTACAAAACTTGGCCAGCAAGGGCTGCAACGTGATCATCAACTATGCAACCGAGGCCTCCGACGCACCCGCAACAGCACTCGCCGCCAATCTCGAAAAGGAATACTCAGTGCGCGCACTATCCATAAGAGCAGATATTACCTCGCGGGAGGAATGCGCGAGGATCGTGACAAGCGCAAAAAATGTTTTTACAGACTCGCACACAGGATCCTTCCAAATCGACATCATCGTTCACAACGCCGCGGTGCTATACCTCGGCCCACTGGAATCAGTCAAAGAATCCGAGTTCCATCGAATATATGAAGTAAATGTCCTTGGGCCACTTTTACTCACTGGTGCCTGCAAAGAGTATCTTCCCACTGATCGCTCGGGGCGTATTGTAATGTTATCGAGTATTGCTTCGAAAACGGGAACGGAGAACACTTCGCTTTATTCGGGAACTAAGGGTGCTATTGAAGCCATGACACGTGTGTGGTGTCGTGAGCTGGCCGAGAGAGCCACGGTCAACTCGATCAACCCTGGTCCTGTCATGACGGATATGTACATGTCTGCGCCCGATGAGGTCAAGGAGGGGCTTTCATTGTGGAATCCACTCACGCCGTTGGTGCCCGTTCGGGAGACTGATAGCCCAGAGGTGAGGGAGTTGGGGGAAAAGTTTGGAGGGAGAGCGGCGTATGCTGAGGAGATTGCTGGTTTAGTTGCGACGATCTGCAATGCGGAGTTTGGGTGGTGTACTGGGAGTGTTATTTCTGCAAATGGAGGGTTGTCCTTTAGTACTTAAACCTAGCCAGCTTTGCTAATATTGACTGTGTGGTTTTTGAGGCCTTCTAATTACGAAGATAGGTAGTCAACATGTATCCAAGTACTCCACAGATGCGTGATGAATATAATGCCTCAGGCCACAATAAATGCCTGAGGCATACGCACACAGAATGTTAACTATGCCCAAAGACAAACACGAGATGCAAGCATTTCAAGCCTGTGTCACTGGTTCTTTTTTTTTGCTTGAAATCTGATCTCTGAATGTCTTCTCAAATTGAGGCTTCATCTGTAGATCCAGTTAAGCTTCAAGTGTTTTTTAAGCTTGTTATTGGCCAAACTCAAATCCACCCCCTTCGCAAAAGGAGACATTCCGACGTCTCATCCATTGGCCCTTCTATACCTTTTTGAATTTGTGTTTCCGAGACTGAGGCATTAATAGTCTAGACTAGGCTTTCAACTCTCAGTACTGCAAACATGCCCAGTCCTCCATCCCACCCATACTATCCCCTTGATGCCAATATTGTGGGTTATGAGCCCAACCAGACTCCGGTGCTGGAGCTTCTCGTCTCTGCTGGTGGGGCATGTACTATTCTTCTTAGTGTGACTTTTGCGTTGGCCAGCTATGTGAGACCGACCTTGCGCATGGCGGATCGAATCGCCATCTTGTGGTTTGTGCTCTGTAAGACAATCGAGAAAAGATCAAAAGTTTCGATATTGACAATGATATAGCTGGAACTCTGCACTGCTTCTTTGAGGGTTATTTTATGGTCCACCATAGCCACATGGCTTCTGCGCAAGATCTTTTTGGGCAACTATGGAAAGAATATGCTCTAGCGGATTCCCGATATATGACCTCGGATACGTTGGTGTTATGTATGGAGACAATGACCGTGGTAAGTCCCACAGCTATATACAAGGTCAACTCGAGGACTCACCGCTGATTTCCACCAAGGTCTTGTGGGGACCATTGTGCTTTGTTGTTGCATACTTGACCGCAACCAGGCACTCCCTGCGCCACCCCATCCAGGTAATTGTGTGCATGAGCCATCTGTACGGAGACACCTTGTATTATGCCACCAGTTTGTTTGACGAGTACGTGCACGGGCGGCCATATTCCCGACCGGAGCCGTATTATTTTTGGGTGTATTACTTTTTCATGAACTTCATCTGGATTGTTGTTCCGGCCTGTATGTCATACAATTCCCGTGCCCGTTATAAGCTGACTTTTATAGACTATCTCTATCGGAGCATTTCCACCATCTCGGCTGCACTCAAACAGGCGGAAAAGGACAAGACTAAGTAAGACCTCTTCCGTCATCGGTGGCGGGTCGAGGCGCAGTGGAGCATTGGGCTAGAACTGTGTTGGCATGAAACATTAAGGAAATTTCGCGGTTGGGATCGAGAGGATGCGAGGGTTGGAACGACAAGATGGGTAGTATCGAATCATATAATAGCCCTACAAGATGATCAAATGAGGCTATATCCTATTAATTTCATATTCCAAGGATTAGTAGGTTTAATAGATTGAATATCTTCACACTAAATGTACCCTATGACGCTCATGCACGAGGCACCTGACGCGCAACCCAGCAATATTAAATATTAGCCTGTCTCCATGATTTCTTTTGGATTTAAGAGATCTCATCTTTAATCAAGATTCAGATCAAATTACGGGGTGAAATCTCCATTGAAGACGAACTTGTTCGCACCCGATTTGGTTTCCCAGCAACCAATTTAGTGTGGAGAGGGGGAGGCTTATCGAACTTGTCAGCCCCCCGACATCTGCCCAGGTGACGCATTGTTTTTCATGACCCTTGAAGGATTTTCTTGAGATCCAAAAACAGATGCTCCAAAATTGTTAGAGATCTTTGGGGGTTTGGTAAGTACAACTGTGACGAAAGTCAACAAACCTGTGTTTATTCGGGTACCTAAACAAACCTTCGAGAGCTCCCTACTAACACCGGCCTCTGTTTTGCTCTATAGGTACCGATGCCATCTCCTGCGACGCCACAACGTCCCTCCAATCGTGGAGGAACTCCAAAATCTACCTCAAAACCGCTGGACATCGGAGAACCGCTGGGGGCGCACGACACGAACACTGTGCGCTCAAGAGTGCGAAAATGGCAGCAACAAGGCGGCGGGGTCGTGACGGTCGACGACCCCTATGCCGATGACGAGGAAAATGATGTGAAGCCAACACCAAAGCCTGCCAAGGTCAAGGTAGAGAGGCTGGAGAAGCTGGAGAAACCGATCAACAACCCCCCGACCACAAGGAAGCGCAGCCACAGCACGCCCCGTAAACGTGTGGTGAGCGACGAGCATTGGAAGCGAACGCGAAACAGAGCCTCAACCCAGTCCTCGTCGCGCAATCTGCCCACACCCAGGCGCATAGCCGAATATACCACAAATGAAGGGCAGTCTAGGTCTTCACGGGGAAAGCATGATGAGACCGAAGATGAAGACGAGAAGAATCGCGACCTCCCTCGATTACAGGGCAAACGAGGTACTGGGACAGGCACTAAATCTCCTATTCGAGATACCAAATCCGCGGGTGCACGACAGAATATCGATACCATCACCGAGAGCGACTATGAGACGGATCATCCCAGATCCGTTGAAGCTTCAGAGCTCTCGGACAGACTCAAGACGCGCTCGCCTCCTCCAGAGGATGCATGGGCAGCAAGCGAGGCGGATTTCTCTGAGCTGTCGAGGAGACGCAAGCGCGGCCCAGCAAAGCCTCCCAAAGGTGGTATATTCGCGCACATGATCGACGAGTCCAGAAAAATGTTTGGGATCCCCGAACCCGAACCACCGAGACCTACGCCTACGCCAACTACAGGCCGTGGAGCCAAAATCGAGGCATGGCTTTCTGACACACCGGATCCTTTTATGGATGAAGCCGGAAAGACTGATATGCCAGCTCCTCTGGATCTGAAGTCAGGCCGAGCGAGGCGATCTCAAAAACTTGCAGACGGCGACGTGCATCCTGGTACCGAGTCTGAGCCGTCGACAATCAGCGAGCGCCCGAAGAGCTCCGAGTCTCGCCCAAAGAGCGCTGTGAGTAAGCACTCCAAAGGAAAGGACAGCGTTTCTTCAATCGACAAAACACCAAAGGCACAAGAGCACGAGATAGCCTCAGAATCGAAGCGGGCTAGTGTAGATAGGACCTCCAAGTCGTCTGTCAAGAGCAAAGAGGACAATCATGTCGGAGATAAGCCATATGAGGACAGTGTCGCGCCCTCAGAGTCCGATTTACAGCCGTTTTCCGATGCTGGCTCTGAAGTATCGGGACATAATGCACCTGTGCCTCTTGGCCGTAGGAAGCCGTTCCCAGCCACCGGTTACCATCGTTTATCAACGATTGCTTCTACGGACACCTTGAGTACCACTTTTACAGATGCAACTGAGCAGAAACCGAAGTCTGCCTCCACCGGGAAGCACAAATCAAAACTTACCGAAGAAGCAGAAGAAGCAGAAAAGGATGACCAGTTCGATCCAGACTCGCTACCTGTGGTATCCTCGCAACTGAAAAGAAGGCTCACCACACACAATGACCTGATGTCTGTGCTATCTGTTTCGACCTCGCGCAGAAGCACCCGGTCGAATCGGAGTATTCGTACCAACAAAAGTCGCCTGGCCCATGCGACAGTTGACGATTTGCTCTATGAGCTTTCGGGTGACGAGACGAAGTATATGCGCGAGCTGAAAACACTCGTCGGGGGGGTGATTCCGGTACTCTTAACTTGCGTGCTGTCCCGCTCAGATTCGGCCATTGCCGCAGGCCTGTTTCGGCCGTCTTTGGACCCTCAAGACGATCTGAACTTTTCAAAGCCAATCGTTAACATGGGAGTGGCTATCGAGCGTCTTAAGACCCTGCATAAGCGGATCCCGCAGGACAACGCAGACGCATTGCTTACATGGGCCCAAGGTGCCCAGAGAGTCTATCGCGAGTACTTGAAGGCGTGGCGCCTTGGATTCAAAGATGTCATTGTCAACCTCGCTCCTCTAGAAGAAGGTGAAGTCACGAACGATGATGACACGAAGAGCCTGGATGAAGGCTTGGAGCGAGACGAAAGCGGCGACATCATAAACAGCGAAGGGGAAAAGGTCGATGTGGCCTACCTGCTGAAACGGCCATTGGTACGTTTGAAGTACCTAGCAAAGAGTTTCAAAGGTATCAATATGCTGGAGCCATCCCCGAAGGCCGAAGAAACCGCTGCCGCCTACCAAAGTCTTGTTATTGATGCCCGAAAACGCGTCCGAGATGAAAGAGCGAGGTTGGAAGATGACTCTGCTGCTAGTATTGACCCAACACGCACAAGAGATCCCATGACCTTGGGCGTTCTCCGCGGGATCGGCATTGATCAGACTCGCCATGTCCGTGCCCGCGATTTCTTCAATCTATCATTGTATCACTCAAGTGGACAACTTGTAGATTGTCGAGCTGAGCTTTTATATCGAGACAACGCTTCGAGCAAAGGGCCTGGAGGTGATCTTTTGATTTGTGAAATCGATCATTCAGATCGCTGGCTTCTCTTCCCTCCCATGGACCTAAGATGTGTTTCAGCCCGCAAGGGAGAATCGAAACATGAGATTATCCTCATGCTGCGCAGCGCTCCCGGAGATGAAACCAAGTACTGGCAAGAATTGATCTCGCTTCGCATTGACGAAGAAGAAGTTGGGACTGAGTGGGTCTCATTGCTCGGATCTGACCCTATTCCGCCATCAATCTGTCGGAGCCAAAGCTTCATCAGCCGAGCCAAGCAGAACAAGGCTCGCAAGCCATCTGCTGTTGGTTCTCCCCCTAGGCCACACCCAAATGACATTGATATCCCCATCGGCGAGAAGGCGACCGGTAAACGACGCTCGTGGACTCCCAAAGAGCACTCGTCTGAGCCAAGCACGGTCAGCTCTGTCACCGATGCCAGAAGCTCTTTGTCCTCAATCGTCACTCGGGAGACTGGCTACACCACTGGAGGATCCGAGCTGTCTGCCAAGCCCGCCCGCGCTGACCTGCCTCTCCTTCCTTCTATGGCGCCCAGGAACTCGCCAACCAGCCCGGAAAAGGCTGCCACCGGGCTCAAACGATCCAAGGCAGCTAAGAGACTCTCTCGCTATGGTGATAGCCCGGCTTCGGAGGGTGCTTCTCAGCAAACAGTCGTATCTGATAAAGCACCCGAACACAGCGGGCCTACATTTACCTCTCCTCAAACCCCAGATACCCCAACGGGAGGTAGATTCTATGGCGAACCAGAGGAATCCCCAGCCAGAGCATCACCCAGAGAAAAGTCGCGCTCAAGGATTCCCCAACCTCAAAAGACGCCTGTCAGGGAACCTGAACCGGAATCTCCTAGGGTTTCATCTGTGCCCTCAGCAGTTCTCCCATTGATCCCCAAGATCCGAACTCCTAGCAGCCAAAGTCACCTTTCTACTCCGACAAGCATCGGTCCTGAAGATGAAGAAGACTATCCTCCACTCGAATGCTTGCCCAAGCAAGAAATTCCGGAGACACCAACCAGAACTAGGAGAAAGAAGTCTCGAAGACGGCCAAAGGAGGATGATAGCCCTCCCCCTCCCCCGCCTCATCGGTCACCCAGTCCTGCCAATGGCAAGCGTTCAACTACTCCAGTTCTCACTTCCAGCAGTGGTGGACTCAAGCGACGTGGCTCTTCTCCCCTGAAGCACGAATATGAACCCTCTACAGCTTCAGATTACTCGGAGACCGACTCGGACGCGTCAACAGTGCGCCACTATTCCTACTCATCATCTGAATACTCAAGATCCGGTGGCTATTCTGACTCGGAGGATGATTACTCCTCGGTATCTGAAGACGAAGATTATGTCACTCCCAAGCCAAGAGCACCTGCACCCGACGCGCTTACTGACGCCAGTTCTCTCTCGCCTTCTAATTCTGTATCGCAGAGTGGCTACCGTGCGGTGCCGCTACAGCCCACGAAGAGTAACAAGGCCACTGCGTCTGTCTTTGCTTGGTCTGATAAAGGCAACTGGGAGCCTTTGCTTCCTGACGAATGTAGCATCGTCGTCAGTCCTGGCCTGATCGAGGCCTTCGCCGTGGGCTCTGAACCTGATCCAAACTCCGACTCCCAATCATCAAGACCGCTCATCTCTCTTGAATTGACACCACTCGTTCCTATTCGCCGTGGCACCGCCATCGATATCAGTATTCGCTCTCCTCCCACCGAGCGATCCAAAATCACCTCCAGTAACAACATCATGTTCCGATCAGGCAACCCTGATGAGTGTGACGCTTTATATGGCCTAATAAACCAATCGAGAATCAACAACCCAACATATATCGCACTCCAAAATGCCCGCGGCCCATTCGACGGCCATGCCTCTACCTTTGAGCCTGCCCCAAAATCCGGTGGAGGTCTGTTTGGCTGGCCCCGTCGCAGAAAGAGTTATCGCGCATCAAGCTCCCCGCGCTCTTTGGCCGAAGGATCCGAAAGCAGCGTGGGAACCATGAGCAGCGCGTTCTCCGCCCTCAAACGCTTTGGTAACGGCAGCAAAATGTTCAACATTTCACGCTCAACCATCGAATCCCGCAGCGGCCGCGAAGGCAGCATCCACTCCGGCTCCGGTGATTCCGGCAACGACCCATCCCCCAACTCCGGCATAGGCCGCATCGCTGCAGCAGTCAAAGGCGCCGACGGCATCGGTCTCTCAAACGCCAAGGTCCGCCTGTACGCACGTGAATCCGCCTCCAAGTGGCGTGACATGGGGGCCGCCCGAATGACCATCATGCCCGCACCACCCAAGAACCCCTCCCGACCTGGTACTGGCGTCAGCGGCCGCAGTGATAACAGTTCCCCGCTAGGTGACAATGCCGACAACTCCAGCGGCACTTCACCTCCCACATCAGGTCCCGCCTCCCCGCGCGGCGGCATCTCGGTCGAGAAGCGCATCGTCGTCCGCGGCAAGACACGTGGCGAGACTCTCCTCGACGTATGTCTAGGTGAGAATGCCTTTGAGCGCATCGCCCGCACAGGAATTGCAGTATCCATTCGCGAAGAGAATGAAGATGCCTCCATTGCGCAGAAGGGTGGCGTTGCTACTGGCTCTGGCAAGATATTTATGATTCAAATGAAGAGCGAGGCTGAGGCAGCTTATACCTTTGGGCTTGTTGGTAAGCTCAGGTATTGATGAGTGATGTGATGAGTTGATGCTGGGTTTAGGATTGGGTGTACGTGTGAACGAGTATGGGGCGGGGGGGGGGGTGTATTGTGCGGTTTCTCTTTTTTCTTCTATTTTCCTTCTACTTCATATTTTTTGGAACATCTTCAGTCATTATTAGCACTTTTCTTTTGTACATTTAGACTTGGCCGAATGATATCCTGGCAGTGGAATAATGCAATTGTGCCTACTCTCTCTACTTTCTCCATCGTCTGTTATATATAGTAACATGTCATTGTTTACAACTAGAATATGAGGACCTGTAACTGTTCTTCCTTTGGGCACCTAATTTGGACTAGTGGTACTCTGAGTGTTGCTGAGAGAGGCTCATTCATCTCAGTTTTCCTCCAGAGATTCAATAGAAGAGCTAATACCTTCGACCGTGCGTCTTCTCTCTGGTCACCAACAACTCTTTATACAGCGAACAAATTGCTGTCACGTCCACCTGCATGCTTAGCTTAAAATTCCACTCTGAGTCCGCCCATTTCGCTTCTGCAATTTGCTTCGTGAGATCTTTTCGAATTGAAGCCTGCAGTGAGCGGTAAATCCCCTGATTTGGATATGCAACAAGGCCTATTGTCGCCGCTCCTAATTTGGATGTAAAACTTATCAATCCCTTTGACAATCCTTTAGCCACCCCAACAGCACCCTGCTTTTTCTTCCCTTGCCACGTATACACAAAGATATCCGTGAAACCTTCGGATATACCATGTGCAAATGTTGAACACCCCACTATGGTCCCGGTTCTCCAGTCCAATACTGGGTCATACATTCGTACTTCTTCTCCATACAGGCCAGGAACAGCCCGCAATCCTTCTACCGTGGCAAGAGGAAGATCCACGAATGCTCCACGAGAGGACCGGCCCAGGAATTTTCCAAAGCTGGTAGCAGACGCAAGTGCCATTCTTTTTGCATATTCTGGTTCGTTGTGCTCGGTGCTAGCGGTGATGCTGCTCGAGGAGGCTGTCGCTGTTGGTGCAACCGAATCGGTTATTGAAGAAATCTCACACCTGGTCGATGATGTGGATAAACCAAGGGCAGATGTTTCGTGGCTGCGATTTGAGCGGAGACGTTTGTACTCTTTGTAAGGCTCGATGAAAACGCCAGTTGAGGCGTCAGCCATGCCTGAAATGGTCGACAATGATGTTGAAGAAATGGCTGTTAGGGGTTCCCATCGCTTTATGTGGATTATGAAGGGCTTGCTCTGATACCTGTAATTTGAAAGTTAGTCGTGATGCGAAATTTGACCAGGCAAGTTAATGCCATTAAACTCACGGTATGAGATGTTTCTCCGGCAACATTCCCTCGCGTTTCAAGACCAATGCGGCTGTGGCGGATAGTTTCATTGCTTTCCTACCTCGTTTGACCTTCCAGACTGCCGTTTCCCCGGGAAGAAGGTCACATGTCATACTTTGTTGCGGGAGGTGCGCGTGAAATGAATCAACGGCTGCACTAACACCTGACTCTTCGTTCATGCTATCTGCAATGGACTGTGCCACGGTATTAGCATGTGGTGTGAGACAGTAAGTGATGGCATCTGCCAATTTTGCTGCCGTGAGATCTTGGAAGGGAATAGGCTCAGGCCCGGCCCCAGCGGTGGCGACCATGTTGCCCCAAAATGGCTGGCTGAAACAACTCGAACGTTAGTCACATAATAATCCGAAAGACACACGTAACGATAGACTCACTCTCCGAAGAATGGAATAATAGTTGTAGGTTTACCATTCCGCAGCCCACAGGCAGTAGTACCGGCGCCGCCGTGGTGCACAATAGCAGCTACGTGCTGGAAAAGCCACTCATGGGGGCAATCGCCGATGTAGTAAACGTTAGAGTCCTGCTCCCCTCGCAAATCACTCCACCCACCGGCGATGATGGCCCGCGTCCCAGTTCTCTCAACAGCCTCTAGTATGACGGACATGGTTGTTTGCACGTCCTCGAGGACTATGCTTCCAAACCCGATATAGACTGGCGGAACGCCGGCGTGCAAGAAAGTAACCAGGCTTGGGGTTGGTGTGTAGGGGACCGCTTCACGAAAAAAGAAACCGCAAACATCTAACCAGTCAGCATATTTCGAAATAAAGGAGGGCATGTATACTCACCTATGTGGGACCCCCAATCACTTGGTTTTGGTACCAGTGCGGGCGACCAGCAGTATGTAAAAGGCACCTTGAGCGTCTCTAGTAAGTTCGGACCTTCTGTGGCAGGGATAGGGTCCAAGTTCAAGGAGCCTTTCCGCCAAGCATTAATCAAATCCCCCAGTCTGCAATAGGCCATTATTATTCCATAATTCTGCACTTTTAGTAGAGAACTTACCCTTGCCATGTCATCCATTCCACAAAATAGTGGGAAATCAAATTTCCCAATGATCGGTCGTTCCCTGAATACTTCAAATTTGCCAGTGGATGAGGAAAAGTCCTCGTACTCGTCCAGGGCATCGTGAACATGAGATGAACGGGAATCCCAAGAGCTTGAGCGCAGTGAACATGTGCAAAGCTCGGAGGATTTGCAATGATCGCATCCGCCACGAATGGTTTCGTATCATTTTGGTCTGGCTTCAGACATGAGTCCCAGCAGCCGTTCAATATCTCCGCCATCGAGGCACGCTTCTTTTGAATCTCGCCAGCGCGAATGGTCTTCATACTCGGGATCAGACCGGGGTTTCGCACCATATATGACATTAACTCAGTGGGGTCCCCACCGATATCATAAAACTCCAGACCGGCGTTCCTGACAAATTGATCAAACGTAGCATGTGTCGCCAACCGCACGCGGTGGCCATGTTTCTGCAAAGCTTTGCCAAGAGCCACAAACGGCTGGACATCTCCACGGCTGCCAACTACTTGAATCACGATGTTAAGGCGAAGACGGAAGGTTGAATAAGGTGGAGTCGGATCTGCCTCCGTCAGTGGCACCTCAGCGGGTTGGTTACTCAACAGCCATTCTAAATTCCGGCTGAATCGCGACTGGACACGGACATCTACGCGGCCATTGGGGGCCAAAGATATCTCCGGGGATGGCACCTCGGTGGAGAGTGGCACAGCAGATAAGGTCCCCGTGTCGTGGTTGAGGGTGCTGCTGATGGCGCCCCCGGTCGCCTCATAGGGTGGAGGGGATTCGACATGGTCACCAGTGCCAACAGAGATTGTATCGATCATCACTAAATGGAGACTGCCTCCAGAAACTCGTAGCAATGATCAGTTCTCCCCTATCAATCAGGCTAAGTTGTAGACTTTTGAAGAGGTGAGGGTCTTGAAAAATGGAGCCGAAAAGCAACAGTGGCGGCACGATTGAAGATTAAAATCAACTTCCGCTAACCAATTTTTGATCCAATGGAACTCTCCCTTTGAATTCAGATATTGGCAATTGACCACCCGTCGAGCCCATAATTGGAAACAACCAAAGTTATTAAAAGCGGTTTTACGCCACCTTAGGCACTGTTTAGTATTCCATTGGTCAGGTAGGTACGAATACGTGAGGACTACCCAAATAGGTTAAGCGCCCGTCCACACCCCCTGGGGATTCGGATATTTTTGGTTAAGGTTTGCGTACTTTTGGATCTACGTAAACCTTAAGCTATAAAATATTTAAACCCTTTTATCGGTGTTTTCTAACCTTTTAATGCTCGTCTCGGCCCTTCTACAATTTTGGCTTTTACTACAATATACTTTTTTTAATACCTTCCACGACTTATTTTATCCACCATGACCCAAGGCAGGCCCGAGATCGATCAGTACTGGCACAAAGGTGGAATCTGCGGCCTTGTGTGTAGAGCTGCTCTTCGCACTCTTCAGTTTGTCCTAGCCGTGACAATTGCCGGAATCTACGGTGTTGATCTGGCCCACGCAACCAAAACCAACAAACACGCCAACGCGGAATGGATCTACGCTGAATTCGTCGCTGCCCTCTCTGCAATAACATGCATCGTACACTGCTTTGTGACAGTGACCAGGGTCGGGTGGTCAGCTTGGGACGGAGTCTTGTTTGTACTGTGGCTGGCTCAAGTCGGTGTCTTTGGGTCAGCATACGCATCCAACGTTCAAAACGAAAACAAAGATGCAACACTTTCAATCCAGCGCATGCGTGTCGCGGTATGGCTTGACTTGATCAGCATGTTGCTCTGGTTTGCGACTACCGTACTTGGCATTGCCTGGTGTATCAGAACACGCAAAGTTACTAGAAAAACCGATGAACTTGACACTATCCAAGAGGAGCTCGGGTCACTGCGTGAGGAGCAAAATGGCAGTATCGGCGAGGGAAAGGGCTTGCTGATCCCTGAAAAGACCAGCTTGGAGGAACACACCCTTTTGGAATGTGCGAAGAGCACTGATGATATCGAAGCTCAGTCAGACAAAATGAAGGGGGTTGCAGAAGGGGATAGTAAACATACTGCCAAAGGCTGAAGTGCAAACAAAGCATAAAACCAGCCTTTCCGATCTACCTCTTGATTATTTCTTGCTTTATCTTCTTGTGTCTATGTTAGCGGGCGCAATCAGGGGCCTATGAACATTTTTCTTTTCTCCTGTCCTTGTTAACATTTGTCCTCTATTACATGGATTTATCACTACTCCTGAAATCCTAGGCTTGATGGATTGCGTTAGCATGGAAATACAAATCACCTTTGTTATAAAAAATTATTAAGAAAAAAGTAATCTTGGTATTTGCTATGGCATCATATACGACGCCCTTGTGGTAAAAGCACCTCATTATATTATGTTAGATTGTACCTCATACCAGGACCTCCGGACAAGCAAATGTTCATTCTCTTGCAGCCATGAATTCCACAGTTGCCACCAATATTTGACAAATACGCGTGAAATTCTCTGTAGCCAGTCACTTCATGCCCGAATATTAGTCTTAACCGGCCCAGCTTTCAAATCACCAATACGCCCATCGTCCATAGCAGACGCCCAGCTGAAACCTACGGCTAATCAAAAAAAGAAAGAGAAAAAAAGACCAAGAAATTGAGTGACGCCGCCATTTTTGATATCAAAGATAATACTCCCCATCACTTGGCATTTGCTGCATACTCTGCCACATAAAAAGACAAAAAGATCCCACAGTGAATCTGGAACATATTCAATGAAAATTCCATTTATATACAAGAATTAAGATTCGATCATTAATATCAACCAATATGGCAACTTGAACAAATGAAACATCGCGGTTGAATCAACAGGCAATACAAAGTATTTCACTACCGAGCTGGCCACCCCGCCAAACATGGTACCATTGAATTGAAAAAAATAAGCACCACAACGCCTGATAATTAAAAATGAAACTATTCAGGCCTCCCTAGGCTCCTATTTCTCTCATGTCCAGGCATTTTACAAATACTGCATCGCTATGGCGTTCTCTTATCGGCTTGATTCGGCGTCGGTGATGAATCGCCATCACCACCTAGACCTACTTCATCGGCTATTCCTAGACCTGATACTATCTCCATAGCTTCCAAATCTGACATGCCACCTTCGTGAGCTATGCGCTTTCTCGTGCGCTTCTTATTTTGGGTGGTTCTCGCATTAGCGACGCGTAATTTCTGGCTTTCCTGACGTAAAATGGCCGCGCCGTGTATAGCTAAATAGGCGCCTTACACGATCTACTCGAACGCTTCATCCGCGCGCGATAGGTTCTCTTCTTGCAATTGCTTAATAGAAGAAGCCTGCCGGCGAACGTCTTTCACAATACGCGGCGTCTTTGGCGTAAAATTAATGCTTGAATCGCTGCCACGGCTCGGACGGAGGGGGGGTGTACGAAGTCGGATATCAAGCTTCGAAATCACACGTATCGGGTCGAAAGGCACTAAACCAGCAGCTGCGAAGCTATTCACAATATTTTGTGACTTAAATACTACCTTTCTAGCCTAGGGATAGGCTGTAAGGAAGTCGCATTTATCGATTCGACTTATACCAAGCTTTGTCTGCAAATCCACTAGGTCGGAATATGCCTTTTTTAACACCGTAAAACAGCCGATATCGAGAGGCTATAAAAGATGAGACGAATGCGAAGGCATATAAATTGGTATAATGTCATTTTAAGAGCATATCGCATCGAATTTAGCTAAAAGGTGGCTACTATGGCCGTCGAGGATAAGTAGCCGATACCGACTCTTTCTTCGGTAAGAAGTCGATGGAATAAATATTTTTTGAAGCCATCCGAGACCGATAGCGTCATTCGTCCATCTATTTTCACTGACTACAAATCGCCAATCGGTTAGTAATTGCGTATCCTTAAACCATGCCGCCATAAAAACCTTGCCTTTAAAAATGACGCATAGCGGTAACGCCCACCCTATCGTATTTACTGCCTTAATTGTAGTGACCCATTCGCGATTTCTAGGCTATAAAATAGCTCTCTGACCAGCGCTTCTTCGCGTTATAACCTTAGTGGTAGCCGTAAGGCCGAGAGCGAAGCTAGTCTCGTCGAAATCGTAGATATCTTTATCCGCAATACCGTACTTCTGAATCGTAGATTTCACGAAGTTGAACCACGTTCGAATCGCGGATTTATCCTCGCATAATACTCGCCAGTAGTCGTACGATCCTGAGAATCGAGCGGAAAGGTCAGGGTATCTTTTAACAAATTTTTGTACCCTATTTTGGCCGACCGTACGTACTGTATTAGGCCGGGGGGCTGCTCCGCGGTCATCCAGTGAGATAATCTATTCGTAAAGTGATTACTCTTCAAAAACAGTCAATTTATGGCAATTTGCGCGTATTTCGGCGCGGTAGGTGATGCCATTTAGACGCGTCGAGAGCATAGTGAGGGGAACGTCAAAAACCTCTGCTGCTCTACATATAGAGCTAAATTCCTGGTTCTTAATAGCCTGAATAGCTAATAAGAGTCTACCCTCTTGCTCTACGCGTTTTTGGGAGCTTTGAGAACGTATTGGTGGCATGGTAGGTGGTTGAAAAAGGTGAGTCTAATCACGTAGGGAATTTTTGATTGGGTGGCCAGCTCGGGGGTGGCCAGCTCGGTAGTGAAATACGTTAATGACCCTCATAAACATCTAGACGGCCATCATTCGCGGCTCGCTTGACACCAATGGGATATCTGACATGCGATCCTCACCCGTCAGGGGATCATGGAAAGTGTCAGAGTAATCCGTATGGTGTAATGTATGGGTCCAATCAATGGTATTCAACTCTCTGTATTTCAGTATCCACTATTCTGGCAATTTATACTATCCCATTAAATAAGAAATATCACTGCATATTTAGGATTAATAAATCCTACGGTATGCCGGTGTAACTATTCCGACAGAAAGCAGCAACCTTGCCCAACCGGCGAGCTTTCTTAATAAGAAGACCAGGGTGATAAACCACCAACACAATCATAGAAAAGAACATGGGGAAGCCGTCAAAGACGTAGATAAAAAGCTCCTTCTGATTAACAGTGGAACTTTCACTTGCTCCGAACTGGATAGTTCGAACAAGATTTCGAAGCATCAACGCAGAACAGGCTGCGTACAAAGCCCACATGTAACGCCGCCAATGAAGATCATTCATCATCAAAGTATCCGTAGGCGTATTGTTGAGCCTTCGATGTAAGGTTACCGCAATCCAAATGAAGAACGCAAACACAACCAGAGAGAAGATCAGACCTGCCAAAACGACTTTCTTGCCGATCGCCATAACATGCGCGTCTCCGGTGACTTGAACACCAGCTCCGCCAAGTTGCGTGCAGAAGGTGAGTATATCGTTCAGTACGAATATGACCGTGATCTTTTTCGGAGTCATGCTGACTAGATGTTCGGCGTTGAAGGACCGGATGATTCGACCGAGAACCATGTAGATTGTCGCGGCGATGAGTGGAGGGGCGCAAAGAATTAACATTTCTTGGAGTGCCCATGAGCTAATTTCTGTTCGGTCTTCATGCGACCACGCCCGGCCGTAGTATCCGAATGATTCACCTGGATGAGATCATGTTAGTCGAGTCCTGCCTGGACCACTTGGAACGGGGAAACGTACAAACACCCCCTAGAACGAGAGGTATAAAATATGCAGCGCGGAATGGAAACATCATGACCAGGTGGACAACTGTCGCAATGCCGAATATAACCAGGAATGCGTATCCTGCTGTGGCGGAGGGAGTGTATGGGTAGAAGTCGACATACGGGTCCGACCCGTTGACACCAGGGTGGAAGTCAATGTCCATGGTCAAAGATTGGAGGTAATTGAGATCAATCTCTTAAAATCAAAGTGGAAATGCCGACAAGCTTTATGAGATGCGCAAACTATTTTTGAAACAACCATACACGCGCTGTTCCTTAAAGATCTATTAGTTATAGTTGACAGATTAGGTAATTTTAGAACGAATACGGTGCGGCACTATGTTCTTTACGTGGTGCTAACCCACTCGATGTGCTCCACAATTCTTTTTCCAGCAAATCTAAAGATTGAGAAGGCTAATACTATGGTAGACAATACTGATTTTCATTTTATCTTGGAGGATGGATCTTCTTGAGTGTCAACAAATCTGCTTTATATGTGATTTGAATGGAGGTCTTAGGACGTACTATGTAGAGCCCAATGGGTGGATGAAATCGATAAGCGACTGATTCAGAGATAAAAGATGATAAAGAAGACCAAAGTTGGAAGCTAAGCTAAGTAATGTGTGAATGAAATACATGACCATCCAGAAAGTGGGCGACTTGCTTGAAATATGAATATTATGAGCCCAAGGAGCTTAGTATTCAAGCTCCAACCAGATAATTTGGCCGATAATTTGGCATTTAACTATTTTACAAAGCTAACCCTCTTAGGTTCGATACACTTGCTGCAAGGGCCACTCAATCCAGCAACGGAATTCCTCGGGCAAATAGGTAGAAATGCCCGAGAGCAGATGCTCAGCCCAGCCCTTCATGAACCACGATGAGTCCATGTATCTTAGAAGAACGGCCCAATGCGCCAGTATTACCAGAGTGTGCGGTGCCTTTCGCTCTAATAATCCAATCATCTCTTCAGGAAGACGATAAAGCCATCCTATTAAAAGATCCATCAGATCCACGCCGTGGGACCCGGCAGATCGTCTTTCAGAGACCTCGCGCATGGTTCTGTAGAGATCTTCAATCACAATAAGATGCATCCCGCGGATTTCATCGTCGACCAGATCTCGCTCAACGAGTCGTTGAACCCTTTCCGTGTGAACGGTATGTTCCTGCAACGCCGTGCGCATCTCAGGAGTTAAGTCACGATTTCGCTCAATGTGCTGTGGTTCTAGAATCCCACTAAATATTTTTGCATGGTGAGAGGAAAGAATTAGTTTCACTCCGCGCATAAGGACCAGCCATTCAGCAGGCCCATTGTCACTGAAGATGAGGTATTCGCCTGGCCTTGGACCTCTACCGAAGTATATGAAGCAGATCATGATAGCGGACATGTAAATCTTCTGGCAATTCTCAACGTTCAGCTCAGAGAGCACGCTTGTTACCGATCGCATTCCGAAGGTGAAATGTTTGTCGGCTTGTTCGGTGTACTCCGCATCGAGACCTGGTTGCTCGTACGCCAAATGCAGGGCAGATAGAGCGAGAATGAGGTGTAAGAGTGAAGGAAATTTAACCCCCCATTGCACGACATGTGTTTGCCACACATTCTCGAGATGCGCACCAGTCGTCATGGTTCGATATGTGTTGATAATGTAATGGTGAAAGAGTTTGAGGTCAGGCAGAGTAATGGTCTCCATCGAGCCTGAAGAGACATTACATTGTGCCCCAGTCGATCGACTTAATTGCGACAGCGGAGGTTTGGATAATTTGAAAGTTTGTTCAAGTTGGCCGGTCGCATATCGATGAGGTTTGTATCGTTTTGAACGGGGCCGATCGGTGGAAACTTGAAAAGGGCTTGGCGACTTTGATTCGGATGGCTGTGCAGCAGTGCAATATCCGCACTCGATCGAATGGTTCGAACAGTTGGCACAGGCTGGTCTTTTCTCGTCGCACTGGAACGAGTTAGTTTCCGGTAGCTCGGTATATCGATCCTGGGAGAAGCAAGATAGACGGCACAGTGCTCTCCACATAGTGTTTCTAGAAGCAAGGAAGAGAGTGGTGATTTTGGTGGTTTGAAAATGTGGGAAAAGCACAAGGTGATGTGGAATAACGATTCAAGGGAAAGGATGTAACAAGAATGACACAGTTATACTAGTAGTAGTAGTAGCCAAGAGTCTTACCTTGATGCGACGCATTTTGCAATTGGTGCAGCCAACACGCGACTTTCGATGTGTCCGCCGTGCCCTGATAGGCTTTACGTTTGAGGGATCCATCACCGTAGACCAAGTTAAGACAAGAGAAAGACGTCGTATTCGTTCTTTGCGGCAGTCAGCGGGAGATCCTGGATTTAGACTGAATGTTGAATTCTAGTGCAGATGCGTGGATTGACATATCTATAACTCGTGTTCTTGCCATCTTGATAGGTTGTGGGGAAATGGGTCATTCAAGTACGAATACGCGCAAATTTCCTAATTAGCTTCAGGGAGCTTCACCCAAACCAAAAATTTAAAAATATTTGAACCTTGAACAGTTTGCACTTTGGTCCAATGTCTGCTGCCTTGACTCCACAGATTCCTCGTCTTTGTGCCAGTGATACAAGCGCACCTATACTCCGCTTAGGCCATAGCAGGTCCTTGAAGGCTGTTCCTAGTGTCTTAGCCTGTGGTATAACTACTCCCCTTATATTACCCAGATAGTTCTCAAGATTGAGGGGGAGAGAGAGGGACATTGTAGGCAAACCGGGTGAAAAAGTGGTGATGCATGAATTAGTATGGTAGGAAAAAGCTTCATTTTCGAAGAGAAAAACCTTTGATTATATATACCGACGGGGGGGGAATCGAAGCGAAAATGGGAGCCGCTGCAGTGATTGATCTTGAAGATCACGTCACCCATTTGGCTATGGGCGACGACAACACGTCTACCGTGTATGCCGCGGAGCTACGCGCCATAGAGATGGCACTCGAATCAGTTCTGACCAGTAACGAGCCCTGGACCAGACAGGCAAAGAACGGCCTGGTCATCTTTGCAGACAGCCAAGCGGCGCTGAAAGCGCTCTGCCGACCGCGTATGCCTTCAGGTCAAGTCTATCTGGCAGGATGTCTGGATTTGATCCGCCAATTGGCGGAGCAGGGGATCCGAACTAAACTCAGATGGATTCCGGCTCACCAAGGGGTACTAGGCATCGAGATCGTGGACCAACATACAAAAGAAGCTGCGCAAGGACCCGATGAACCACAGAACCCTCACAACCGATATATCCGCCTAGCAGCCGCGACCAAACGTCGTTTCCGCAACAAGGCAAATATTGAGTGGGAAAGGGCGTGAGCATTGGAGAAGACCGGTCGGCCGACCAGGCGGCTAATCAAGGCACCAGCAAAGAGGACACTAGAGTACTGGTCCGGACTCCGCAAAGCAACGGCATCGATCCTGATGCAGCTGCGCACTGAGCGGATTGATCTGGGTCTGGACGGGTCGAGTGTTGTTAAATTTGAAACTAGGAACGAGATCGATCGGCCTGAGACTTTATATTTCAAGGTCAAACGAAAGGCCAAAATTCTAATACAAGAACACCCAATTTAGGGCTACGTGTACGGAGTACCCCTATCCCTGTTACTCAAGCTTATTTGCTTCGTACTCGTTCCATACTCCGTTGCGGGAAGGCTGAAGTGGGGCGTTGGGTATCGCCACTAATTTTTTGCAACTGTTTGTTCGTGTTCATGACTTTGTCCAATTAAGGAATGATTCGGTTTCTAAAACGATAATAACGGAAAATTCCTTCGTTACTGAGGTCACTCAATTTTGACCAGACGAAACCGAAATAGATGAATTTTATGATCCGCTGAGGGATCCTATAGAGAACCACAACGCCCGCCTACCATCCAATCATAACCTCACGACAACTTGGATTTTGAGCGACCCTGGACTCGACACAGACATCCTCTCGGCCATTATTGGCCAATGATAATCGCAGAAAAGGAGTCGAAGCACACGGTAGCTCGGGATATCCATTCTGTCCGTTTTTCGTGTGATGTAGAGCTCATATGGTGGCGGAGGGCTGGACCCATATGAATCTAAGGACAAATAAGAATGAACCTGCAAATAGTCGGTCCAGCGCTCGGTATCTCGGTATATACCCGGCGTTCCTTTCGCTCTTGACAATATTATTGGCTAGGAATTCCCGGGATTTACACGAGTACGACAGAATTTCCTAATGCGGTGAATCGCATCGCCTTAGTCCCAGATTGATCAGCAAAGTGGGTATGCCCGAGAATATAGTTTCCATGAGAATCCTCAGAAACAAGTAGCTGAAATGGCAAAGTTCCGACCTCCGTGTCCCCAGTTATAGACAATCTGGAAGCCTAAGGTCCACGGGCGGAAGCTTTCCCGAAGGCGTTAAAGCCAACACCGGAGGGACCATGTATTGGAAGAATGTGGACCTGAAGATTTCGACCAACTCAGGAGCCTGTATCTAATTGTGGTTGATCCTACCCCTGTACGTCACGCCAAGCAGAGTTGATCAGTTCTAATTGGAAATTAGACACACGTATATGATTTAGCACTCACTACGGATATATAAAGGGCTTCTGAATGCCGGCTTGTAGCCAACACATTTGAGAAGTGAAAGCCAACATCTAGCACCAAACTATTTTTAGTATGCGGGCGTTGTCTTTCTTACCTTTATGGCTGCTAGTGCACGGTGTGGCTGGCGCCAGCTCCCAGTGCAAATGTGTAAGGACGCATGCCATACTGGTCAGACACGCATATATTCTAAATAGCGCAAATTAGGCTCCCTCAGACCACTGCTGGCCTTCTAGCAATGATTGGTCATATCTGAACGAGACCGTCTCGGGTCGCTTGATCAAGACAATTCCACCCGGCTCCGCCTGCTACCAAGACGAGCCGAATTACGACAAGTCGGCTTGTGACGCCTTGCTCAAGGATTGGACAGACTCGCGTTATCATTCGTCAAACCCGTTTACAGTGTCCGATCCCCTGTGGTCGAACGGCACTTGCACTCCCATCTACCCGAATGGCACTAGCATCTCCGGCGATCCTGATGCTGGTGTTAAGGGATGCTCGTTGGGATACCTGTCTCCGTATGTTGTGAATGCAACTACCGCGCAGCATGTGCAGGCAGCTTTGGGTTTTGCAAAGAAGCACAATATGAGGCTCAACATTAAGAATACTGGACATAACCCTGAGAAGAGGTAAGGTTGTCCTGTATGTTTCGGATGTTCAAAGACTAACTCTGGCACAGTTCGGCTTATGGAAGTCTATCGTATGTGATTCGACCTGACATGGGTAGAGCATGACTGACTATACCAGGATCTGGACCCACAACATGAAGAACATCAGAATCCATCCCTCATTTACACCAGCCAAATGTGATTCTGCGGAGAGCCACGATGCTGCAACTCTCGGCGCTGGAGTTCAGGATGGGGAGATCATCCAGTATCTTGCAAAGCATAACATGACGACTGTCATAGGATCCAATCTGGTAAGCAAAGAACAAAGCATCCTGGAACAGCATCTTAAATGACTAACGATATACTAGGATGTCGGCGTTACCGGCTGGGCAACCGGAGGTGGTCATGGTATCATAACTGGCGCCTACGGCATGGGCGCTGATAATGTCATCGAGGCTCGGATTGTCACTCCGGGAGGTGTCATCGTCACAGCCAACGAATGTGAGAATATCGACCTCTTCTGGGCTATCCGAGGCGGCGGCGCTGGCTTCGGCGTTATTCTCAGTCTCACCGTCAAGATCTACCCCATGCCGTCCCTATCGGTAGCCTCCGTGAACATCAGTGCTCGCAATGGGACACCCTCTACGGCATTTTGGAAGATTATTGCCAATCTCCACAAGGATTTTGTCAAGCTCCAGGATGCAGGTGTGATGGGCTATTACACCGCCAGTGGACCGCCTTACAGTTTCCAATATACCATGTTCCAGCTGGGTTCGACGAACACAACCTCTATCGACCAGTTGATTGCCCCACTCAAGAAGCACCTGGGAACATACAACGGCAGTGTTGAGTCTTCATCGTTCACCTCGTGGATGCCTTCGTGGTACTCTATCGAGAAACTGTATCCGATAGGTGGCGACGCTGGTACAACCCGGGGGGTCCGCGCGAGTCGGTTGCTAACTCACAAGGCGGTCGAAGACACAGAGATGTTGGCAAAAACGCTTGAGATTGTTGCGTCGCGAAGCAAAGACTCTCCAGTTCGTCAGACTCTACAGATACGTTGACCGAAGGCAGCACTGATATCTCACTTATAGGATGGAGTCTCGAGTCCTTCGATCTCGGGCACGATGACTATCAGCCACCGACCCGTCGATAATGCCCTTAACCCGGCATGGCGGGATGCGGTCGTGCATTTGATCAGCAGTGTATCATGGGATGACACCCTTCCCGAGGATGAAGCCAAGAAGGCCATTGCCAGCGTGACGAATGGCACGGGATATGCACTGAGACAGCTGGCGCCTGATTCGGGCGTTTACTACAATGAGGTATGGCTACTTTCACTCAGCACGCGTTCTACTCACACTTTCATGATTGGCACAAATACTAATATAATAAAAGGCCAACTCCTGGGAACCCGATTGGCAGTGGGCCTTCTGGGGCCCCAACTATGCCCGAGCGCTGTCTATAAAGCAGAAGTACGACCCGGACAGCCTGCTGTGGTGCCACCATTGCGTGGGCAGTGAGTCATTTGAGCAGCAGAAGAATGGTTCTCTCTGTGCTACATTCTAAGGCCTGGGCGGCGGGGCCAGGGAAGAGTTATTCGGTGTGTATCAGTCAAGCCGATTTCGAAAATAACTGTAGTAGTTCGTACTCTTGTTCAATAGATATATCCAGATAAATGAACAATGACCTGAGGATGGTGGAGTGCCACTCACTTAATGCCGAAGTCAGTATGTCTTGAGAATTTTTGGTGTTGTTGGCTAATCTGCCGTTCATCATTCCTTACTCTGCTCTTAACCGTTTGTTCCCTAGCCGTCTGTTCCTTAGCCGTCTGTTCCTTGGCCGTCTGTTCCTTAGCCGTCTGTTTCTTAGCCCGTTGTTTCTAACCCCTGGCTCTTTACCATTCATTGCTAACTGTTTGTTGATCATTTGCAATTCACCGTTTACTCTTCGCCGTTTAACGTTCTGTTTCAACAAGATCATCGCTCATTTTTTAGCGTGCTGGCTAGGTTGCCGTGGGATGCGTGGAGGTTTGCATCGTAGCCGGCAACGGTGTCCCAGCTTCCGGCGTAATCGTAGCTCATCAGGTCGCAAAAGTCAAGGTACTAATCCATATGGACAAGATGCTCTCTCTGGTAGTTGGCAGGTCCTAGAATCTGACTAAGTTTTGTGAAGATGTTTGAACGACACGTACCGCCAGGGGAATTAATTTGTTGGCCCTGGGGACCTCAAAAAAATTTATAGAAGCTGTTTATAGGAAATACACTTTCCCTCCTGGGGCTATTTCTTTTTCTAGGAAAATGAGATCGACCCCTGGGATCTTCACTCTATGTTCCCTGACTGAATACGAAACTGGCTCTGGGAATGCAATGGCCAGATCTGGGAGCTGTGGAGCCCCTGGGGGCTTCCTTTAGGTTCCTAGAGTCAATAAAGTGCCTTTTGAGGTCGCGGAAAGCTCTGCGTCATTCGATCACTCCTGGAAGGCCTAATCATCGCTCTAGGAATCAGACAAATCGTCAACAGGAATGCGGCTTTGATTCCCCGAGGTGGGGGTACCAGACCCAGAAGCTATATCAGGTTTTCTGGGGGCTACATGGCTCCCAGAAGTTGCTTTTTGCTCCCGGAACTTTCAAACCCCTTGAGGAGCAAGGGAACTCCCAGGGCCAAGACATGAGTTTCTAGCACTGATAGAGCCCTCAACAGGAACGTGACCGGTTTCTTGATAGTGGCAGTGGATAGTCTTAGAAGCCACGGATGAATCCCGTGTTGTTGATTATAGCTTCACACTATGGCCTTGGGTTTTTTTAAGTTTTACATTTCGGTGGCTTCGAATGGTATTGGTTTTGAATGCTCAACGTTGTGTATCAACTATGTAACACAAATAACGAACATGTATCACATACATCATCCCAAAGGCCATTCCAGATCTGCGAAACACGAAGCAGTCTAACTCTTCATTTCCGCCCCATTAGTCTTCTTGAAGACATACCCAATCAAGTTACACTCATCCTTCAGCATAGTAGTCAGCACATCGTCATCAATGGCAGCTTCAAGCTCCACATCTTCAGGCCCAGCCCCAGCAGTAGAATCGGACTCAGCCGCAAGCAGGGTTGGGTCAATGTGCGCATACTGAGCCAAGGACTGGTGCATCGTATCTTTCTTGCTTTTAGCATCGCCTTCCTTCTCTTTCGTATCCTTCTTCCCCTTCCTAGTCATCTTAGCTCGATAAGAGCCGTCACGGATAGACTGTTCTTGTTTCTCCATGTCGACCTCAGAAGCTTTGACAAGAGTGTGAGGTTTCGGCAGCGATTCATCCGAGTCATAATCACGGTCCTCATCATCAAAGTCAGAAGGAGGATCCGACAAATCATCGACTTCAGATCCACCCCCGCCATCACCAGTAGCAGGCGTGGCAGCCCCAGAATCAACCTGGACGCCGCGTCCACCACACCGACAACCCAACAACTCATGCGTTTGACAAGCTCTGTCCTCATCAAGTCTGAACAAATCCCTAAGCTCAGCAGCCGAGAACTGCGCACCACCATTGCTCTTCTCCTGCATAACACTATCCGCAAGACCAAGCTTGGTAACTTGTCTCTGCCAGATCTTCTCCTCAAGACTGCCCTTGAGCAGAATGCGGTAGATGCGACAAGGACGTTTCTGGCCGTCGCGGTGAATGCGTGCCATGGCCTGGATATCCGTTGCCGGGTTCCAGTCTACATCGAAGAGGATGAGACGGCTCGCGCCGATCAGGTTGAGACCTGTCCCGCCTGCTTTTGCGGAGAGCAGGAAGGCGAAGCAGGAGGATGCTGGGAGGCGGTTGAAGTCGTCTACCAGGCCTTGTCGTTTCTGGGCTGGTGTGCTACCGTCCAGGCGGAGATAGGGGAGGCCTAGGGAGGTGAGGAGATTTGCGAGGAGGGAGAGGGTCGAGGTGTAGTTTGAGACGAGGACGATTTTCTCGTCTGTTTTGTTGCGCATTGTGTCGAGGAGTTGATCGAGGACGCGAATTTTTGCGCTGGAGGAAGGTGATAGGTGGCGGTGGAGGGGTTGAGGGATAGAGGCGATGAGAGCGGCCATTGTTTCGTTAGGGGTATTGTCATTGTTCTTGGCTGTTAGGAGGGAGGGGCTGTTGCTGAGCTTTTTGAGGATTGTTATGAGCTGCAGGGCGCTTTCAGCGTTGCCCATTGCGGTTTGGAAGATAGGGGAGGCGAGGACGGCTTTGTAGATGTTTGCTTGAGGGCGGGTTGGTTTGCAGAAGAGAACATATTCGGACTTCGGGGGAGATATTTGGCCAGGATATCTGCTGTTCGGCGGAGCATGAATTTGGAGGTGAGTTCTCGCAGCTCCTCGCCTCTAGACTCTCCTTTCTCAATCTCCTTTCTCGTTGCTTCTGGCTGTCTGCTGCGCACAATTGGGGTTTCGAACTCCCGAATGAAGGACTTAAAATTTCCCAGGAGGCCTGGATTAACAAGATCCACGGCTGCAAAGAACTCTCTCAAATCATTTTGGATTGGCGTGCCGGAGAGAATGACTCTCTTCACGGCGCTGAGTGACTGGATCGCCAGCCCACTCTTGTTCTGCAATGTCTTAAGCCTGTGGCCTTCGTCCGCGATGATGATATCGACTCCAGAACTATTCGCCAAAGCTTCCTGAACCGTTCTGAGCTTTTCATATCCAACGATCATGATACTATAAGATCGGCCCTTCGTGAAATCTGTAAGGCGCTTACTCTTATCATCAAAGACAAAAACTCCAATGCGCTCATTGCCGAGCCACTTGCGGAACTCCTTCCGCCAGTTATTGATAAGAGTGACAGGGCACACAATCAATGCCTTCTTAATGACAGGCGGGGCTTCAAAAACAGGATTCTGCTTAAGCAGGGTCCAAAGCAGGGCAATAGTCTGCAAAGTCTTTCCCAGGCCCATATCATCTGCAAGAATGGCACCTTCACCATTAAACGACCGCATGCCCATCACACACTCATATAAAAACTTCACACCCTCACGCTGATGCGGCCGCAAGTTCTTCGTCAAGAGAGGATCAACAACAACATCAACAACCTGCTTCCCCTTCGGCACAGACTTCGGCCGCGGCATCACCAACGCACCAACCGCTTTGGGGTCATGGCGTGGAATGACCTTCCCCGCAGCCTTGGGAACAACCGTGTTCACAAGCAGCGGCGCTTTGTAAGCGGCAAACGCCGCCGGTGCATTTCCAGGGTTCGCATTGGGGTTGGTTACTAGAGCTAGCGAGCGCTTGAGGGACTGTGTCCGCTCAGCAGCCGTGGGTTTGCGTACTTCGCCCTTCTTTCGGGCGGGGAGGGCTTCTTTCTTCGGTGTGGGCACCGGGTCCGGCGTGGAGGTAGGTGCTGACTTCGTGCCTTCTAAAAATTTTCTGCCGGAGAGGTATTCCTTGCGCGAAATCTCAGAGTCTATTTCAACCTCTTTGCCGGAGATAGACAAGGTTGTTCCCGGCTCGAGGCGGGCTTCGTGCATCTTCCGGCCCATCTCTTTCCCGGAAATGTCTCGTAGATACACGAATTCTCCGCGTGTGGAGAGGATTCCATCTCCGTCCCATGTTTTGTGCTTTTTGGCGCTTGGTTTGCGCCTGTCTTGGTTAGCTGGTTCGGTCTAATTGGTACAAGCCCTGTGAGCGATCAGCCATCTGAGGACCTACCAAAGAACATTGAAGTATCTTTCGTCGGATGTATCATCTTTGGTTGATTCACCAGCTTGTGACTGGGTTGTACTGTCTGATCCTCGATTGTTGACTTGTAGGAGTGGCTTTCGACTGACTATTGGTGTCGACTGCCCATCGTTGGGTGCTGGTTCGTCTTCGAGGCGGGGCTTTTTGGTAGGACGACTGGACTCTTCGGGGATTTCGATAGATGATGTAGCAGGGTTCCTAATTAAAGGGGACTTGAAGGGTTTAAATACCATGGCTGTGCTGGTCTTTTTTCCTTGGTAAAGATTGCGTTGGGATGAGGACGCGACACAGGCGCGGGACGCGTGGTCACGTGAGTTAATAGACCAGTTTTTGTGCATTAAAAGACTGGGCCTAGAATCAAGGAACACCTAGCTTGGCCTAAATATTTCGCTATCGATATTGATATGGAAACTGTACTTGTTCAAAAAAAAAAAGAGGTTGCGTAGCCAAATGAATATGAATTATGATTTTAGAGTAGCTGTGTATAGAGTCGTAAAAAGCCCAACACAAATGTAAATGTACGCAAGGTAAATATATAACGTTAAGTCGCATCATAAAAAAAGGGCATTTGATAAGCGTGCAGCGAAGAAAAACCTCTATAAAGCAAAGTGGTATACGCAGAATAGTCCTCCCAATATTTCCCCTCCAAGAAGATTTACCGAGCATCATCGGCCAGGGCCTTGTCAGTCAACGGGACATGCTTCGGGCCCACGTAGGAGCCCTGGTGGACGAACCACCAGACGGTCACGAAAATGGAGAGACCGCCAGTCATCAGACTGGCATAGTTCATTGAGGCAGCATCAGTAGGTAGGGCGTAAGGGAAGCAGAAGATGATGGCGAAGACGATGATATAAGCACAGGACAAGGAGTTGACGACGTATCCGATTTTGTTGTTCATGAAGAAGTATCCAGGGACGAAGGATGAACGGCGGGTCAAAATGTGAGGGAAGATGGCCATGAAATAGGAAAGACTGGACAACTGCACAAAGCATCCCACAAAGGCGCTGAAGGCGGTCGTCGAGCCAAGGTAGATGCACGCCAAAACGGTGATAACGCCCGAACAGGCCAGGGTAGCGTTGAAGGGGTTCTTGAACTTGGGGCTGATTTGTCCAAGCCATCCTGCGAAGGGAGTGGCGCCGTCACGAGAAATGGTCCAAAGGGTACGGCCGGCGGTGATGTAGCAGCCACAGGCAGTAACAAAGGTAGGCAGGAAAGCGACGACCAGGAGACCGAGAGCGCCGCCATGGGAACCGGTGGCTTGGCGATAGATCTCAGCCAGGGGGAAGAAGGTGTTCGGGTCGCGCACTCCGTCGAGGTCGTTAATGGAATAGAAGATTGCGACCATGTAGCAGATACCAGTGATGAAACCGACACCCATCTGAGCCAAGATAGCCTTGGGGATATTTCGGCTCGGCCTGTGAGTTGAAGTCAGCATACATAACAAGGGAATGAGGAAAGAATGTCACTGACTTAGGGATCTCCTCAGCCAAGTGAGATGAGCAGTCGGGGGTTCCAACACTGTAAGCACCGTTGAGCATACCAGCCACAAAGACAAATCCTTGCTGGGTATAACCAGTTCCGTTCTCCCATGTTGCCCACACGAGCTTGTCGGTGGCATATCCAGAACCGTTCACATGGGGCATCACAGCGCACACGACGATGGTAACGAACACACCAGCGAGAATAAAGAACATGCCGAGGTTTCCAATGTAAGGCAAGAAGCGGTTCATGAACAGCACAATGCAGCAGCAAGTCCAGGTGCAGAGGAGGAAGCTGACAAAAACGTTCCATTGTGAGGGTGAGAAGCCGGGATGCATCAGTGCATACATAGCCACGGTCTGCTGAGCCAGAATCAAAGACATCGATGCAGCGCCGAGAATCCAAGCTAGACAGTTCCACCATCCAGCGTAGAATCCGCACACGCGACCGTACTTGCTTCCCGCAGTGATAGTTGCCCAATGGTAGACACCACTGGCTGAGGGCATACCCGATGCCAATTCGGCAATCGATGCGGCGACTAACCAGTAGCAAATAGAGACAGCGATGCTGAGCAAGGGGTTAGCTTTGATTTGTGAGATTAGTAGGGAGGGGTATATACAATTCATAGATAGTTCCTGCAAGTCCACCGTTGCTGATAGCCACAACGACACTACCACCTTGGGCAATCCATGTGTTACCAGTGGTCACGGCCACGGCACAGATACTGATCAGCCCAAAGTTCCGCTCGAGTTCCTGACGATGACCTGAGGCGTTGATGGTCTCTCCTTCCACTGGGCCATCGTGTGTATAATCAGATGCGATTTCTCTCTCAGGGACGTAGTGGGCCTCCTTCTCCGAAATCCCACTCCCAGACATATTCGACTTATTTTGGGAATATCCCTGGAACCTCACAAGAATACTCCTTGGTAAATGGAGTTTCCGAAATGTACCTCCCGTATTGAAGAATAAGATGGGAAGAATCGAGATGAAGTTAAGAAAAAGGGAGCAAAAGCAGCGTATAACATATATTATCACGGGCCGATAAGTAATCCATGAATTCATCCCGGCCCCACCCCCTACCTCAATCTCCAGCCAATCATCATTCACAGGGGGACATCATTCGATAGCTAACTGGCTCATAGTGGGGTCGCCCCAGAGTTTCCATTGGGCGAAACCGGAGAGGGAGAGTGCACATTGCACTCCAACGGGAAACTCTAGTAAAAGGCTGCATTACGCTTAACCTAGAAGGGGAGCTTGAACAGAAAGAATTTTTCCATCCCCCTTAGTGGCCTTATTTTCCTTCACTTTGGCTTCATCTCTACTTCTTTCTTTTTTTGGGGAGATAAGAGATTTGGGGCTCTTGAGCGGGTCAATTAACCCCAGACTCTTCTTGATGTTCATCGGTACTCTAAATAGATGTCCGCCTGGGCACTCCGGCATATTCCCTATGTAGGTACCGTGGAAAGATGCATACATTACATAAACATAAAATATCCATTGAAACCTCGAATATTTTCATGTTACGGACTACTCCGTATCCACAGTACAATATACACCGTAGCCGACATTCTTCTAGTATTTGCCCCTGTTTGAATTGGAAGCATATCATTTGCAATTGCAAGTGAGACAAGCCTAAGAAAACAATGGCAATAGTGCCTGGTCCAGGGGCAAAATAAAGTGTAAATAGGAGGCTAAATCCATCCAGATGAATCCTTTACTAACCCAGACACAGAGCAACCCACCTTCTTAACGATAGAGTGAAGTAATATATTTGACGTGGGCACAAACAATTTATGTTCATCAAGCTAATGCGACCGGGGTGTGTCCCGTACAGGGTATGTAGTAGCACGGGGCTAGGTGGTAGCTTTAAATCGGCCTCCCTGCCCACTTAAGACCAGTGCCACAATATAAAGGACCCAATCTATCGAGAGTTCATCAATTGGAAACTACCTACGGAGTACTCCGTAAGGCATATCGGAATCGAGAATCCGGATCTCTTAGCCTTAAACCAGAACGTTCTCCGGAAGTATAGTTCAGCTGAGTGTGGAGAGCGTAGAGGCGACTCAGGTTTTAGCCTCAGATCTAGTGGACACAATGATCTAGACTGCTTACTTTAGTCGATGTTTCGCCTCTAGATTAATTAAGTACTATAACTACGTAGCCACCTATATATAATTCATATATTAATGAATTAATTTCTTATCCCTGCACAAGAACTTAATAAAGTGGCTTGCGCTGGCTGTCAAGTTTGGCACAAACCTATAACACATTAGCTACTTCCTATTTCGGATCCTGCAATACTAGTTTGTTCCAATAAATATTTCGATCCTAGTTATATATCCAGTATTCCAGTTTATGTATACTCGGTACATAGGTTAGAACTCGCCTCTGGGGGGTCCCACACCCCATGAAATATTATCCGTACCGAGTAAAGATCCGCTCTGTTTCCACCCAAAATTCCCTCGGGAAAAAAAAAAGGGTCAGTGTGTCTCATGGATATGGCCCCCACTCTTCATACTTCTGGCCTAGTGGCAAACTCACTGGCCTGATCTGGCAGGTCGTCCTGTTTAGTAGAGACTACCTATTATCACCTATAAAGCCGAAATCAAAGGTACAATTATCCTTGGATTCAGGGCTTGAATAATGGATTATCTGATTATTGATGAACCTTGGGAAAATGGATAATCATCTCCACAGTGGGCCTCTCCAGATAGAAAGAGCCGTGTCTTCGCTTAGACGCTCCAGCTTGGTGAGGTATAGTACTTTATATGCTTATATATCCTCTTGCCTAGTCAAGCAGGTAGTTAACAATATAAATTCATTATGGTGTCAATTAATATTGCTACGTAAACTTCTATCTTATGATTGGGCAAGACTACTAAACTGTAAATCAGCTAAACTTCCAGTCATAGGAAGAGGAAATTCCACAATAAGCGCGGTACCTAAAGTGGACCAGTGACAAAATTGGCAGATGCAAATCAGATAGCAATTGAGGGTCAATTTCCCAAAGTAATGCCATCCAAGGAAACACTCAGCATCAAACAGCCCCCACCGTCCAATCGTGATTCTCGATGCTTTATCTTTGAGTGGTTGGCGTTTCATTCTCACCTTACCATATTTTGATCTAACACATTTCGGACGTCCCCCTGTCGTGATTATCGGCATATGCAGGTCCTATCGGAACTTGGCAACCCTATAGTATTTCATATCCCTGCTAGTTTCATAAAATGTGAGTGCGCCTTTTAACTCCCGTTCCTCCCTTCAATCCCCGTTAACCTCCATTCGAACAGGCCAGGGGCAATGTCTGGTTTAGGAGGGCACTTCGCGGTGCAATTCTGCCGTGAAACATGGACTCTGTATTCCGTCGGAGTACTGAGTGCGGTCTTGCGATTGTGAGTATTGATTGATCCGATATACAAACATCCCCTAACTAAAGCTCCTTGATAGCGTTGCTCGTGTTCGGCGTTTAGGCATTCGCAATCTCCAGGTCGATGACTATCTTATGCTATTCGCAGTACTTTGGTATACGATACTATGTGTCGCTTTAAATCAAGTTGCTTCCGGTGGCGGGTCAAATCTCATGACCGAGGAGGACAAGCTATCGTTGACGGATAAAATTATCGACGAACGAGTGCGCGGTAGCAAATGGGTCTTTGTGTCGGAACATTCGTTTATTCTTTGCGTCTGGAGTTTGAAAGCATGCATGTTGGTGATCTATGCACGTATCACGTATGTTGACCCTCGACTTGGAGTCTGTTCTCTTCGCTAACACCCAACAGTGAAGGATTGAAGCAGAAACGCTGGATCAACTATGTCGCAATTTATGTTGCACTGGGATTTGTCGCAACCGAACTGTCACTCTTCCTGCTGTGCCGCCCATTAACAGACTACTGGGCCGTCCTCCCAACGCCAGACTACCAATGCTCATCGTACCAGTATTATGAAATCGTCCAGGGCTGCATCTCAATCTCTGCCGACGTATTCATGCTCCTTATCGCCATCCCGATGCTAGTCCAGGTCCGCGTCCCACTCAAGCAAAAGATGATCCTGATGATCCTCTTCGGCATGGGAATCTTTGTCATCGTCGCCGCCGTCCTGAACAAGGTGTACTGCCTCGTCCCGTCCTTGATTTCCTACGTCTACATGAACTGGTACTTCCGCGAAGCAACCGTCGCTATCCTAGTCACCAACCTACCGCTGATCTGGTCACTTCTCCGCGACGTCTTCCCTGCCCTCAAGAGCTGGACCGGAGGCTCCAAGCGTGGCACCGACCGCTACAAGTCCGGGCCCTGGACCAGCAAGGGTGGCTCAAATATGCCTCCCTATGGCCCACCCAGCCATGCCCGATCAGGAGACTTCGGCATGCAGGAATTCGAGGGCACGACTACGATTACCCCCCAAAAGGCAACTGCTTCTGATGTTAGTCTCTCGCTTAGCGAGGAGCGCGATGCAAGCAGTGACGATGGCTCAGCCCGCGCTTTGCGCATTCGTCAGGATATCACCGTTACCGTGCAGCGTGACTCGCGGCCTTCGGGTTATGAGTCGAACTCTTCGCATGCCACCCGTACCCACGAGGACGTTTAATCGACTCCTGTTACACACCGAGAAAGATCTCAGTTTCCGTTTTGTCTCTTTTCACGAATCTACGAAGTCTCCAAGGGCTTGATACCCCCGTCCTATATTATTGTGTTTTATTTTGTCTGTACATATTTTACTCCTAGACCTTGGTTTTTGTTTCTCTGGCATTGTCGAAACCACCTGTAACCGCTGGAGGGATTTATTGGGGTTTCTTAGACATAGAGATTTCTCCTGGCGCACATCTACAACTACTCCGTACTAAAAGTTCAATCCCATTAATTGCATATCAACATCCACCGTCATTTCCACGGAGCTCATTACCCACTTTCCAAACACAGGTACCACGTAGAACCATGGAAAACATTTTATCATAACCAGCCGATCTCCCGGCACCTTGCGTCAAGACCTGCCGATCCTATCGGCATCTGACGGCAACGATTGTTGGATGTCTAAAAAAGGGGGTCCGGGGGACTAAGTAAACCGGTGAATATGGTTCGGATGGAACTTTTCCAGAGAGTCACGACCAAATCACACTTTCCCCGGTTCTGTCGGTGCTTGGGCTTGGGCTCAGATTGATAGGGGCGTTGTGGGGGGTGGCTTTGCATATGCAGCCTATTCCGAATACAAATGGTTCATGCTAGCATTGATCGTGCATAATTAGTTTCGTTTTGAGTTATTTTATTACTCTCCTTTCTACAGGGATCATCCCCAGACCATACAACATACGTTGGGTACCAACAGCTACAATGGATCTACCTGGGTATGTATCTCATACGTCGCAGCGGAAGACCCCGATACCGGTGTCCTCAAAATGGAAACCTCGGTATCGACGGAAACAGTTCGCCCTCCAGGTTCCCGCTCCACTTGATCGGCGACCTGGAAAAGCTGGTTGAAGCTGCCAACCTTGGAAGTTTACCAACGCATCCATGGATGATCTATATTTCGCGCTGGTACCATGGATAAGCTCTCTCTGGATGACTTGGGGCAGATACCAAGAATTGAGGATTTTCACGGGATCTGCGTGGAGACACATGACAGGATAAGGAGAAAATGAAATTACCAATTGCCGTCGGTCATACCTGGAACTTCCCGACTTCACTGTTGGGGAGTTTCAATGATTTATTAGAAGGCTTTCTAAATGCCAAATCTCAAATTATTTTAGAAAGACACTCAGGATTGAGCCGCGTCACTAGGTAAATCAGAGTTTCAACTGAGTTTCGGCGACCCAACGTTCCAGCGGTCTCCAACTGCAATACCATATTGTACAAAGGCAACCTGAAATATCCATCCCAATCCTTCTAGATGTCACTTGGAATCCGAACCACGTGTATTTGGTCTCAATTTTGAGTAAAAGACGATCATCTATCCCTATTCGAGTAACTTGCATGGATAATTTTCGGTTCTAACATGCCCTGAAGATTCGCTGAAGGATTCACTCAAAAAGGTTAGCCCGACAGTCTCGGTGCAAAGTACCTGATTTATATATACTCCGTATTATACTGCCGAGCTCCGTCTATTTGAAAGTACTCATAAAGTGGGCCTCCTAGGCCGACCATGCACATAACACGGAGCTCATCTTTTCCTGATAAGGGGGGTAGTAATTTCCTTTCCCTTTGAGTTAATTGCAATTTCATTCTTATTTTTCTTTTTCCTTTTTCCTTTTATTTTTCTTCTCGCACTCCGGCCGAAGTGACGATCCGAGAGACCTCGCTCGCTCTTTGATCGTGACTGTGCTCGCGCGCGCTGGTCTGAGTTTCTGGCCCCCACTCTGTCTTTGCATATAAAGTATATATGTATCCTTTTGCTTAGGCCTTTGCTTGGGCTGGTCTAGGTGGTTACGAATGCGAGACCGAATACGATTTTACCCGACTTCAGTACGGAGTACATAATATCGATATACAACATATATTGTTTGTTTTATGTTGCATATATTCAGGACAGACAAATAAATATTTTTTCCCTAGCTAAACGAGAGACATAAAACTACAACATATGGTGGCGGATTGTACGGCTATTCGTCTTTTCGTTACATCTCGTAGGGACGCTGGCTGTTCGGCACTTCCGCAGGTATGGAGTATATACCCTATAATGGCAGGTTGCATCGCTTGAGACTAGTAGCAAGCTAACTTCGGAAGGATATTTCGGATCGTATGTTCGACCCTGGTGGCCAAACTCAAACATTTTCTCTATTGGAGAGGTCGAAAATTATCCATTCATTAGACAAGGTCATATCGAAGAATTACATCTGGCCACCATCTTAAAAGCGTCTAGCAAATCTATATGGGCAATAACATGCTCAGACTATCCTAAACCTAATCTCACTTTTACTAAATCTTGGATACGATGTATGTACTATTGAAATTTCAAAGAGTACAAGGTTTGAATCCCAATGCATCTAGATCTGCGCACAGACGAGCTATTTTTGAAACCGGACCCTCTTGCCTTAGGGCTTAGAAAGTTTGTCAAAGGCGAGTTCTCCATGAGGATTGCATTAAAAAGGATGCCCATTGGTCCAAAGAAGTTGTGGTAGCAGGTTTGTCTGCTCCAGAAACCTTGCGATCTCCACGCTGGCGGATGAATGAAATCGTATGGCCCACTCCTGTTGGCCCTGCGCTTTGTAGCAGAGACATCATAGTCCAATTCCCATTGATGATAGTCAACCCCAGCGCGCTGTTAGGGAGGCGCCCATATTGACTTGAGCTCTAAATTGCAGAAGCGGTGCAATGGTTTCAGTGTCATTCTGTTTGAGAACTTCCACATTTGAGATGAATAATAATCTTGCATGAACTGTCCTCCTGCCTCGGCTCCATTTGGCAGGAGGATTTGGCACAAGGGCAGGCCATTTTCTTGTAACACTTTTTCAAATAAACTTCTTCCATTTCGCATTTTTCTGCCGCTTGGAGATCAGCACCTGCTTCTAGTAGAATGCGAGTGGTCTCTCTCTCTCTATGCAGACAATAGCCAACAGCAGTGGTTGTAGGTAATTGTCTGGGTTGTCTGTTCGATTGATGGCTGCATGTGCAATTAAAAGTATTTTCATCGGAATATCTCCTTTGCACGCTGCAACTCCCAGTGCAGGTGTTTGGTAGTTATTGGGTGATTCTAGCAAGCTACTCTTTACCACACTCTGATGATAGCTTCTCCATGCTTTAGGAAAAGGACTGAAATTAAAAAGTTCTACGGGGTGCAACGAATCGGGATTTGCACCTCGTGAAAGCAGAAGTTGTGCCAATTCTGTGTTTTCGCTACTTACAATGTACCCAAGTCTCCACTAAGGTGCATTGCCTGGGGCTTTCCGGAGATGGCAATCTGACGCAAATTATCTGTTCGATACCTCTCTGTTGGCCAAGTCTTGATTTGGTAGATGTCGCCAATGAATCGGGAGTTTGCAGGTCAATCGGAGAAAGTACGAAGGACCAGTGAAGTGATCGGTAGGCAAGTGATCTGGTGTTTGTTACCAGGGGGTTTTATTCAGTCAAGAACGCAATCCTTTTATCTCAGTGGATCAAAACACATTGTGCTGTTCGACTTGCTGTGCCTCATAACTGTGATATATATTTATAGACCTTGGTTGGTTCAAACTAAATACTACTTTTTATTTTTATAGATTCAAGGTACCGACTTACAATTTGTCTGTATAGTGAACCTGGAACTGGCTATGATTGAAAGAAATAAATAACCCCAGGAATTATATAACCCCCCTTTCCCAAGATCAAAAAATCCAGAAAACCATCTCAAGCATATTCCAAACTTCAAAGGACCACTCCACCTCATCTCTACATCTCACGATGGTGTGGTCATCGCACACCGCTCCCTTGGACAATTCAATTCCCTCCTACGAATCAGGACGGGATAACAATGACTGAAAATGGCCTCAAGTCTCTGCTCATTTATTCTCTGTCCCCTCGGCCGCAGAGCCATCCGTGCCTCCAAATCATCTTCTATACAACCATCACCTGCAGCATTCTTCTGCGCCACTCGCCCCTAACTTTTGGATTTCCACTGTCCCACCTGGCCTCAACTTGTATCTCCCGAGTCAGGATGTCACACACCATTCCTCACTCGGGGGCATTGGTACTGCCAGCCCTTTTTCTATAGAGGGCGTAAGTCAAGGGCCTGCTACTACTACTGGTTCCACCTCCCCATCCTCTGATTGCTCTGTACAAGAGATACCTTAGCCAAAGGTCAATGGCCGTCGTTGTGCCAGGGCCGTGATATCATGTCAGCGCCGTCGAGCACGCAGACAGAATCCGGGGTAAGTCCAAGCCCAGTGTCGCGTCAGAACATTGCTATTACTACTTCACTAACAACAGTGTACTCATATAAGTGACATCCACGGTACTTTCCACTGCAACTAGAAAGACTGCCCATACCCCGGCATGTTCTCTCGCAAAAGGGTCTTGATGCGCCACGTTGAAACGCAGCATGTCACTCCACACTCATTCGGTTGCCTTGGCTGTGGCAGACGCTTCAGTCGGAAAAGACCGAGCACCTTGGACGAGTGCATTTGAAAAGAATCTGATTTAGACGCTGGGGTAAGGATGATCGCTATTGGGAGTGCCTGTGTTGAGTCTGACATAAGATAGTCGGCATTCGTTGGGGTTATTGAGACAGGAGATAATAGTTATTTTGGTGAGTTACCTAGTAGATCCATAGCTTAGGCTGGGAATGTTTCAACATCGTTTCTATAATTCATTATTTACTTCCTTAAGCTCATCGTCTGCTATTCCTCAACATCTTGACTATTGTGGTCTCTGATTACTTTCTACAACAGGTCTAGGAGTATGCTTAATTTGTATATTGGATAAAAAGAAACTTATATTAACGTCGAGGCTGATAAGCCGTCGACTCAAGGACATCTCCACCCAGCGAAGACTACATAAGTACATGAAAAGAGAATGCGAAAGGATAGTGCCAACGCCGTAGGAAATCGAAGCCAAAAAACAAAACCAGAAAGAAAAGTCGTGTATCATCTCATCATCGCTGGGTATGTTCAAATCCTTTTTTTTTTGTTTCGCGATTTGACAAAAAAGGAGACTATGAAAACCAGCTCTGCTTAGTCATCGTACAGATCAGGGGAGACCGGATCATCATTCATCTCAGCGTCGAGATCAGCATCGTCCATCATGTCATCATCGCTCTCGTCACTGCTCTCACCAACCTCATGGTTAGGCAAGACTTCGACGCGACCGTCTTGCAGGACGACACGGGCGGTCTCGCCGTCCTTGATGCTTCCGCGCAAAATGAGCACAGCGAGACGGTTGAGGACCTCGCGCTCGATGAGTCGGCCTAGTGGGCGAGCACCATAGGCCGGGGAGTATCCTGCTGCGCCGAGGTAGTCCTTGACTTCGTCTGTGCACTGGATAATGACATTGCGCTCGTTGTGATCGAGCCGCTTCTGCACCTCGGCGAGGCGGAGGTCCACGATCTTGCGGATCTCCCGTTTGGTGAGACGGTTGAAGATGACAGTGCTGGAGATACGGTTGAGGAATTCGGGCAGGAAGTAGTCTTGTAGTGCTTTCATGACCAACTCGCGGGTCTGAGGGTCAATCTTTCCGTCCGTGGTTGTGGGGCGGGAGAGATATTGGGCACCCAGGTTGGAGGTCATGACGACGATGCAGTTCTTCGCGTCGACGATGCGGCCTTGGCCATCGGTGATACGGCCGTCATCCATGAGTTGCAGGAGGACAGTGAGGACTTCCTTTGCGGCCTTCTCGACCTCGTCGAAGAGCAAAATCGAGAATGGGCGGCGGCGCAGGCTTTCGGTAAGTTGGCCACCGGAGTCATGACCAACGTATCCGGGGGGTGCACCGATCATACGGCTGAGCGAGTGTCGCTCCTGGTACTCGGACATGTCGAACCGGATCATTGACTTTGGATCATCGAAGAGGAATTCGGCAAGCGCTTTTGTGAGCAGTGTCTTACCGGTACCGGAGGGACCACAGAACAGGAAGCTGGGGGGTGCGTTAGGGTTGCTGAGACCTGAGCGCTGCAAGCGAATGGCGTTGGAGACCGAAACAACGGCTTCCTTCTGGCCGATGACGAGCTTGCCAAGATATTTCTCCATGTTGAGCAGCTTGTCCTTTTCGGTGGTCTTGAGTCTAGTGACAGGGATACCAGTCCACCGGCCCACGATTTCATTTATCTGATCAGGACCAACTGCGTCGGCAAGGAGTGCCTCACCAGCATCGCCCGATTGAGAGCGACGTTCAGCATCGGCCCTGGCCCGGTCAGCCTCGAGACGCTCGATGAGGGTTTTTGTCTCTGGGATGGCATAGTATTCGAGATCAGCAGCTGTCTGGGTGTCACCCATACGTTCGGCTTCGTCACGCTTGACCTTGAGAGAGTCGAGCTTTATCTTGGCATCCTGGACTTCGCGGCTGCGTTGCTTTTCACTTTCATACTTCTCGCGCATGGGCCGGAGCTCCTCGGCAACATTGGCAGCTTCCTGTTTGGCAGCCTCGAGACGAGCCTTGGATGCGTCGTCCTGCTCTCGTCCAAGGGCGTGAATTTCGATCTCAAGCTGGCGGGCCTTTCTTTCCAGCGTATCGAGAGCTTCTGGCTCGGACTCGCGAGTGACTCGGACTGCAGCTGCAGCCTCGTCAATCAAATCAACGGCAGAATCGGGGAGTCGACGAGCTGTTAGGTAGCGAGACGCGAGAGTGGCGGCAGTGACGATAGCTCCATCGAGAATGTTGACACCGTGGTGAGCTTCGTATTTTTCCTTCAGACCACGAAGGATAGAGATGGTCTCAGGGACTGTGGGCTCCTTGACGAGGACCTGCTGGAATCGTCGCTCGAAGGCCTGATCCTTCTCAATATACTTGCGGTATTCAGAGAGTGTGGTGGCACCGATACAATGCAACTGGCCGCGAGCTAACATGGGCTTGAGAAGGTTAGCGGCGTCCATACCGCCTTCGCCGCTAGATCCAGCGCCCATAAGCAGGTGAATCTCATCGACGAAGAGAACGATGGTATCCTTGGAATCTTCGATTTCCTTGAGAACACCCTTCATACGTTCTTCGAATTCACCGCGGTATTTGCTGCCCGCAACCAGAGAACCGACATCGAGAGAAAGAAGACGGCACTGCGCCAGGTTGGCGGGAATATCGGCGTTGACAATGCGGCGAGCGAGACCTTCGACAATGGTGGTCTTACCAACACCGGGCTCACCGATAAGCACAGGGTTGTTCTTTGTGCGTCGGCTGAGAATACGAATGACGCGACGGATTTCCTCCTCTCGGCCAATGACCGGATCGATCTTGCCCTCCCGAGCCAAAGAAGTCATATCAATGGTGAACTTCTTCAGGTTCTCATTTTCGTCTTCCGCATCGGCGGTCTTGGAGTCGACTCGCTTTGTACCCCGAATTTGCTGGATAGCATTGTCGATCAACTTGAGGTTGGGGATATTGGCATCGCCCAGAGCACGCTGAACCTGTGAATCTTGGCAGACGGACTGAATGAGATGATCCACGGCAACGAAGCTGTCCTTTTGGGTCTTAGACAAATCGGTGGCTGATCGAATGACTTTGGAGAGTTGGGGAGAAACACTAGGGTTCTCTGGAGGAGGGTCTTGACTCGGTAGGCGGACCAGCAGTTTCATCAGCGCTCGATCGAGGAGCTGAGAGTCGCCGTGGGCTCGGTCGACCACCTGGCGGAAGAGAGGGGCAGTTGATTCATCGTGGGAGGCATGGGCACCGGAAGGAGTCTGTTGATCTTTGGACTCATCTGGGGAGGGGTTGAGTAATGCAACTGCCAGGTGGAGTGGCAAAATCTGGGATTGTGCATATTGCTCACAGAGGCTGCTGGAGTCCAGCAAGGCCTTGTTGGCTCGATCTGTGAACTCGACGCCGTTCATTTTGAACGGATGTGTGGGGTAATGTCAATAGGTGTGTAAATGCCGATATTCCGAGAGATGGGATCGTTCTAGTAGTATAAGAGGAGAAGGCAATTGAGCAAGTAAACTTGAAGAATATCCGACTTGAAACCCGATGATGCAAGTTCATATACTCCTGGCGCGTGGGATGCCCGAAGCTGCCACCAGATCCATGGCGTCACTACTGAGTTCCACCGCCTTCCAGAAGCTGCCTGACGTTGCCTGACGTTGCCTGACAGTGCCCAGGATCACCCCAAGGCACCGGAGAAACCATTACTCCGGGGCACATTCATAGTGTAGTATGTCACTCTCTATTAAGATGCACTCGATGACACTTACATTCTCCTACACACACATACACCATAGTCAGTCAATTACCACCTTATTATATAAGCTGACAGGTTATCCAATCCATTATATCTAGTCAATTACCGCCTTATTGCATAGGCAATATCACCGGCGTCACATTGGAAGGCACGTGATGTATCAAAGCCACGTGAACCCCACGCGAGAGGCACGTGATATCTATTTTGCTGCCCTCACCCCTAAACGTTCCGTGATGAGGTCAGCAAACTCCCACTAACTAACTAAATCGCGCAACCCAGCAAACCACAACCCTTGGATGTTTAGGCTCCCCACGTTGGAGACCTGATTCGGCGTTGATACTCTGAGCTTGCGTGCCTTGCAGTGGAGCATCGAAATAACTCAGTCCCACCGGCTCTTACCCGCCAAAATCAAGATGTTTAACCGTGTTGGATCTTATGATGTGCCACTGACGCCTGCCCAGGCACTATATACATAGCCCCGGGTATTTCCAGAAGGGCTTTATCTCTCCGTGTCGCTTACATTGTATATCGTGTTCCACGATAGCCGACAGAAAATATCCCACGGTTAGTCAATGACGTCAGGTGGGATATATCCTAGGCAATGAGAATCCGAAGAAACTGATCTCGAGCCTTGCCCAGGATCAGACCCCCTGCACGTTTCTACTCAAATCAGCCGAGGTATTTTTATATACGATTTAAACTATGCTTTCGATTGGAATACCGTTTAGGGAAATCAACATTCACCGGGCTGCATGGAAGAGGAGTACAGTCTCAGGTGAGCTCAGACACGACATGGACCGTGGATGGTGGACACCCCAGGACGACGCATCCAGAAACGAAGATCGATCCATGGAACTATCCACAACTTGTTTTCTTATTGGTTATTCTATCACGGATGGATTTTTTTATTATTTCAATTACATTGTTTTCGTCTCTGGAGGAAGAGAAAAAAATAGAAGCGGAAAGGTCTGCGGGGCCAGGGAGGGGCAGAGGCTTGGTGGCGTTAATGATTTACTTCATCGATCCTTGGAAGGCTTCGAGGCTTTTTTGATTTTCCTTATATGCAAGTAACTTGCTCTAATAGACAATACCACAAGGGCTATACCTTATGCGTGACCTTGCATCTGGCTTAATCTGTAGATCTCTAGTTCTAGCCTACCATATAAGATACAGAATATTTATGGATTTCTTCCGGTAACCAACTCTGGTAGCTCTCCGCTTCCCGAGGCTCCTCTAAAAAAAAATAAAACCCTGTTATTAAACGTGGTACCTGTGTCATTCGTCCATATAAAGAGTTTTAGCCCCCCCTTCTTTTCATTCTCACTGATTGCAGCTGAGACCATTAAGAGGCTCTCACATTCGCTAGGACCCTTGCGAAGAACTCGACCCGCCAAACCAGAAATTTTCTGTCGGATTTGAATTATCCTTGCGTTGATTGATCGGAGACCTGATCCACTGCAAGTTTATTCACGATTACCTTTTGTGAACTTCCCTGACACAAAGCCTGCCGATTGCAGTTATATTGGCCAAAATTACATCCTTACACGACATACAAGTATGTCTGATAAGCCGATCTTTGTGGCTACACATCCACGAGCATGCTCGACAGCCTTTGAGCGAGTAAGAGATCCTAGATTCTACTTCCATTCTAAACAGATCTCTAACAGACGACAGGTCTTCATGACTCAACGAGATACTATTCAATGTGTCCATGAGCCATTCGGCGATGCATTCTACTACGGCCCGGAGCGTCTCTCCAGCCGATTCGCAGGCGATGAACATGCACAAGAACGCCTGGACAGTGGATTCGCCAACTCGACATATAGTACCGTGATGGATAGGCTCGAGCGAGAAACTACTCAGGTCCGACCCTTCTTTCTGCGTTGGAATCTCTCGCGTTCTTACCCATCCCCCTCCTAATGCTCTTCACGTTCTCCCCTGTGGATCGAACATGAGGGAAGATTCCTTACCTGTTTCCATTGTTATTTTACACCGCAGATGTAGCCCGAGGCAATCTGTCCCCTCCCCCCCCCCTCCCTTCCCTTCTACTACAAACTGTATATCACAGGCTGGTGCCGAAATATTGAACGACCATGGAGATCCACGAGGCGGAATGGAATGTTTGCACTTTTCGAGGGGATACTTACCTTGTCACAGGGAAAGAGAATCTTCATCAAAGATATCGACCACTATCTGCTTCCACCGAATGGCCAGCCCGGCAGCATCGCCCCGTCTCTGCTGCGCGTTAAGCGCGGAGTCGGGACCAACGGTGAGTCGCACAAGGCCAACGGTGTGAACGGTTCCTCAAACGGCACCAACGGCACGGCGAACGGTGTGAACAGTCACGAGATCAACGGCCACACCAACGGCGTGACCAGCGGAGCTTCCAAAGAACCCTATCCGTACGACACGCCAGCAGAGCCGGGCAATCCAACAGTGATGCCGCGCGAGCTGCAAGAGCAGTTCCACTGGGCGTTCCTAATCCGCGACCCACATTATAGCGTGCCGTCGTACCTGCGGTGCACAATCCCACCTCTGGACGAAGTGACCGGGTTCCACAACTACGACCCTCTGGAGGCCGGGTATGACGAGCTGCGGCGGCACTTCGATTATCTGCTCGAGAGTGGGTTGATCGGGCCCCAGGTTGCCACACGAGCGGATCTGAACGCCCAGGCTGAGCCCCAGGCGACGACTGGCGTTGAGGTGTGTGTCATCGACGCGGATGATATGCTCGACGAGCCTGCGAAGACCATCGAGGCTTTCTGCAACAGCGTTGGTTTGCCGTATAGCCCGGAGATGTTGACGTGGGATACGGAGGAGGACCATGCCGTTGCTCGTAATGCGTTTGAGAAGTGGCGTGGGTTCCATAATGATGCTATTGAGTCGAAGGCTCTGGTCCAGAGAGCTCATGTAAGTTTTTTTTATTCGTTCTGATGGAATGGGGATGTGAAGGCATTGGGGACTTTGAGGCTAACACTCTTCATAGAAACGTGCTGTCAAGACTGAGGAGCAGTTTGACGCCGAGTGGCAGAAGAAGTATGGTGAGAAGCAGGCTGCTCTCATCCGCCGGACAGTCGACGCCAACATGGCCGACTACCTGTACCTCAAGGGATTCGCCGTGAAGGTTTAGAAAGAGACACCGGCGAGTCGTTTGTAGCGCAAAGGGTCAGGAAATGAGTGAAATGGGAAAGAAAGAGGAGCTGAGGGGCACTTACCCCATATAATCTCTTATTGACCGCTCCTTTGTGAGAGCGATATGAGAATGATTTAGTCCGGATGGCGCCATCTCCACGGGGATTGGTTGATGACTATGACGATCTTGCATATTTTCTTAGTACTTCCATACCATTTCCATTTGCTATCTTTCAAGTTTCTGGGGTGTATTCTGTAGTTTGCGTAAGATACATGGGCTATTGTAACTGTACCGTGTATCTTCACAGGGGTACGATAATACTAGCCTGAGGCCGATGTTGGCTTCCCACCTGACAATTCCTTAAATAAGCCATTACTATGTGGCCCTGGAGGTCAGTTATTTCCTCATCCTCCTTCCCTTTCTTTACTACCTATCGAAGTATCTGTACACTTCCCAACCCCATGCAGAAAGTCAACCTATTCTTTTGGGAGTAGGATGTTTTGTGATGAACAATGCGATGGAAAGTCAGGCTAGGAAGACATCTTGGCACATCCCTTCCCTGCTAGCTGGTACCGAAGGTACAACTACTCCTATGCGAAAATGCAAGGCTCGAAGGAAAGCCCTGGAGGGCAATCTTGGAAGTGGCACTGCCTTTTTAACTGCCTTTTTAAGCGAGAATGTCAGGCTCTAAAAGGGCTACAATCACCAGCTTAAATGTTCACGTTAACAGAATCATAGAATTTCTTGAGGTGTCAATATATCACGAAGTGTCAATATATCACTCAAAGTACAAATATAACCACAGTCCTCTTTGAAGTACCAAAATTGATGGGTAAAAAGTCAAGTCGGCAACATATCCTGAGACAGTACTACACGCCCTATTTTTGAACCTTGGCGCCAGCCTTGAGGGCACTGTTTGGCACGTAGAGAGGCATCGAATCCTCCCAGATGGAATCAGTGAGCACCCGCTTATTCGATCCATCAACATCCATAACGACGATTTGACCATAAGGCTGGAAAGTTTGATCATAGAGAGCACACTCGTATTGGAAGCCGAACATGCCAGAAGAGAAGGCAATGCGACCATCCCAAGTCCAGACTGCATGAGCGTCATTGGCACCACTACTGGTGAGAACCTTGACATCAGATCCATCAGTGCGCATAGTGCAGATGTCGTAGTTGTAATCACTGGTCTTGCGAGTGAAGACGATTCTCGTTCCGTCGGGGGAGAAGGAAGGCAGGTTATCCCACTCGTTACTCAAGACAGAGGTCTTGCGAGTTTCCAGATCCAGAAGACGGAGTCCGAGCTGGGATCTGTCACCCAGAGTCGAGTTTGTGCCCCACACACGGAAGACGATCTTTTTTCCGTCATGTGAGAAGCTGGGGAAGCCGGAGTTGATCATGCTGCTGTTGCTGGAGAGGGTTGAGTTGCTCTCGGTCAGGACTTCGGAGTAAGTGCCATTGGCAGTGGCTCGTACGAGCCAGCCGCCGCCGGTTGCGCGACCTTGGAACCAGAAGCCTACTCCAAAGGTGACCCACTTGCCATCGGGTGACCAGGCCGGGTTGAAGGCGCCTGCGGTACCCACGGCGACTGACTTTGGGTCAATGAAGTCGGATTCCATGACGTTGTAGATTAGGCCCTCGTTGGTTCCATTGGCATTGAAAGAAACGACGGAAGAGTTTCCAAGCTGTTTCTCGGTCAGGGCAATCGTGTTGGTGTTGGATAGCTGTGGGAAGACGTCTGTAAAGCGGTATTCCCACTCCGAGTCCCAGCTGTACAGCTTCTTGTCCATAGGGCGGACAGTCCAGGCGGTCTTTTCATAGACGACCTTCTTGCCGTCGGCAGACCAAGCAGGAGAGCGGATTACCTCACTAGAGGTGTTCACATATCCACCGGCAGTAGTGTGGAAGCCTTCGACACCGGCACCCTTGGCGAAGTAGGCGACGGTGCTGTCAGAAATATATTGGGGGAAGCTCCTCACGCTCGCTCCTTCAGCTTCCACGCGGCGGTCAGCGCCTGTGGCAAACTCCACCGAGACAATGGTAGAGTTGGCGGAGTTAAGTGACTCAGGACGGTGAGCGCTCCAGGTATTCTCACGAGTAATTTCGTAGAAGAGAATACGCTCGCCATCAGGCGACCAGTTGGGCGAACCGAGACAATAACCGGGCTTCGACACGACGGAACGGAAATCAGATCCATCGGGGCGGATAGCGTAGATGGACAGCTCCTGTGTATGTTCCCAGCCACTCACACCTTGGAAGACCGGGTCTCCGTGTCCGTACCAGCCCGAGTTACGGTCCGACGAGAAAGCAATCCATTCACCGTCAGGAGACCACGAAGGGCGGAAGTAACCATTAGGAAGAGAATCATTGGCGGCGGTCAAGGCAGTATCTGTGAGATTCCATTTCTTGCCACTCTCCAGATCCATGACCCAGATGTTAGCCTTGTAGCCATTAGCAGTGGACACATAGGCGATTTGCTTTCCATTTGGAGACATGACGACTCCATCTTCCACCGAGGATGTTGCTACCAGCTCCTCAAGATCAGATCCGTTTGTCCGGACGCGGTAGATATCCGAATTACCATCACCATTGCGTTCTCCGGTGAAGGTAATCCATTCTCCATCGGGGGAGAACGTGGCATGGTATTCGTAGATAGGATTGGAGAGAAGAGGACGCTCATCGGTGCCATCAGCGTTGGCAACATACAGCTCTGATGTCCCGGGGGCAATGCGGTTCATATAAAAGATGCCTTTCTTGTCAGACGGCGCCTGGGACGGAGTGTGTGTCTGTGGTGGAGGCGTGCTCTTCTTTTCAAGGCTCCTCTGCTCTGCATATGGGCAAATAGCCCATGCTGGTGGCAGAACAAGGCCCAAAAGGGCAACTGAAGCGGGAAAACGCATAATAAGAAGAAATGAGCGCACCACAGCAGTTCAATAACCTGGGCCCGTTATTTTCTGGCACTGCTAGCTATACTTATACATAAAAGAATCCGCAAAGGAAAAAGGTCTGAAGGACCGATCGCTTCCCTCTAGGGCCGTAGTGCACTTCTTTCCTCCGACAGGCCCACCTTCGCGTAATGAAATCCACGTTATTAGCGGGACCTTTCATCTTATCTGATGAAGCAAGCTAGCAACTCTCCACCACTGAGAAGCCCTGTACAATATTGACCCTTCATCTGATTGGTCTTACCAAGTGAAGCTGGGACTTGCAAGACTCAAAACAAGGCAATGATCATCGTGGCTTGAGATGGATGGAGAAAGGCTCTTCCGCTGGTTACTGGCAACATTGTTGTCGTGATGGTTTAGACCATGATATGTTCTATTCTTGCTTGTCTGATGCACCTGCATACACTTCCAACAACGTCCAGGCATGCTATGCTGTATGTAGATCGATCCGATCCTGCAATTCTTACGCAGTGAAGATGTCAAATGGGGCTCGGATATCGGAGCGTGAAACCTGCCAAGTAAATCGGCACTGGAAATGCCTCTAGTCCTGCGCAATATCCTGCTAGCACAGGTAACTCCGCTGATTTCGTTCGTCAATACAAGCCACCGGGCTCGAAGGTCGACGGCCGACGGAATTCCCTGTCTTGGCAAATACTACCATTGGTTTAGCAGCGGTTCTCATCGTTGCTGCATTCTGAACCGCGTAAACTTTGCACTGACATACTCGGAGTCCGAATATCGGTCGAGATTGCCGGATTTAGGGGGTTGAAACGTCGATCGAAGGTGGAGCAGTCTCACTGTCTTGGCAGTAGGCTTGTGTCATATGTTCAATGGGGTTGATGGAGCTTGGATGTACATATGTACTTTGTAGCGTGTTGACAATATATGGTACTTTGGCTAGAAAAGCACTCCTACTATAGCTTCCTATTCAGTTCTATACGACCATTTCTAAAGGAAGTATACCGGGACATAAAGTGTGTTTGAAACACACTATGCTCTCAACTAATATGGGAAGCGATAGTAGGTATTGATATGATGAGGTGAATACAAGTTAGAGGAATCCGAACATTTTCGGCTCCAAGTGTTGGAGGCTGCAGACTTGAATTACAACTCCCAGTCGATAGAGATGGGAATAAGCTGGGAGACTTAAGGGTTTTCTTCTCTGGCAGTAAAGGTGGAGATGATATGAGATCCTAGCTCTTGCAAATGCTTGCGCGGATCCCCCAACTATATATGTTAAAGGGTTATTGCCTATAGCATTGTTATTACAGACTTATTGTTGATGCCTTTGATTGCCATGGACATAAGGTTCCCCCAGATCTTATAACCCCCAGACAAGGATGTGATTCAGGATACTCTAGCGAGGTAAGCAGATCAAGTTGAACGAAGAAGGAAAGTGTTTATATAGTGATTGCTTTCATGAATTTGCAACTTAGCACAGAGACGTGGAATGCAGCCGGCTAATGGGTCCAAGGGAGGAAGCAATGCCACAGCCTTGGAGGGTCTAGAATAGTCTGTCGAACAGCAATGCTCTTACAATAGGCACAAAACCCAATGAAACTATTTATTTAGTATTCGGAATAATCTAAGATAAGAAAACTTTCGGCCTTCGTTAAAATTGTACCTTCATCCAAAAGTACAAATGACCATAGGAACCAATTCATCCAAGCCAACTTTCTTCATACCGCACTGTAGCCACCCCGCGAGCCCGCTCCTTGCAGAGTATTGACCACACGACGGAGCCAGTCCTGGAAGAGGTATGGGATGTCGCGGATGGTGTCGCCGTGGGGGAGGAGGTCCCAGCCACGGGCACCGTAACGGTTGTAGTTGAGCCAGGAACCGAAGATGAGGTATGCGGCGATGCAGAGGAAGGCACTAAATAGATTGATTAGCAGGACGTTCCAATACAGAAGCAACAAGGAAGTAAAGTTCCTAGGAACCAAGCAAGACTCACATGATGAGCAACCAGGTAAAGAAACCCCAGCTCTTAGAGCCAGGAGTATCGCCCTTCTCCTTCTCGAACTCATCGCAGGCGTACTTTGTGCGCCAATCCAGTCTCAGAATGTAGGTATCATCATCCGACGGAGCAAAGCTCTTGAACTGCAGACTGCTGCTGTTATTGTTTCCCGATGTGCCGTTTCCCGACGGCACAGCACCGACTTCCTCGCCGTCCGCTCGCCGTTGTCGCTCCTTCTCCGAATCCTCTGCAATCGTATGCAGACCCTCCAGTCCAGATCGCTCATGGTCGCACTGGAAGTCAATGATAGCAGCTGCCTTCTTGAACTTCTGGTCATTGAGATCTGCCTTGTATGCGCCACCTTCCAGTTTCACGCGCAGTCCCTCGGTCTCTGGGTCGATATCCTTCAATCGCTTCGGTTCTGGGTTCTTCGGGTCTTTGCCAGCAGGGTCAAGCCCGACGATCGAGAAACCAAACGTAGAACCGCCATTTCCGTCCTTCGGTGTTCGGTGCACGAATCCGCAAGCTGAAAATATACATCATTTAGCATGATCACCCCAAGCAGAAGACCACTTCAACATGGTCACGTCATGCCGACCAGGAACGTACCGTTTTTGCCAGTTCCGCACGTCGCACCGTCATACCGCGCAGCGCCCTCGAGAACATTGCAGATATTCAATCGGTAGGTCGTATTTGTCACGTAGTCATCGGTCGTGACGCTGTCAGTCAACTCGTGGACGCCTTTTAGGGGACTGAGATCGTATTTGTAATTGTCGATCTTGATGTCCGCGCAGTCGAAGCCTGACGCAGTTGCAGATGCCAGGCTTGGTAGGATGGAGAGGAGGAGCGAAACTCCGTTTGATTGTATTCGCATTTTGATTAATGTGTCGCTGGCTGGGTCGCGAAGGGTAGGATGGAAGGGCCGATGGAAGCTGGGATGAGGCTTTTGCGCAGGAGCTCGATAGCTCAGATGGGGATGGTCACGAGCAGGAATGTACACAGAACAGGTGTGACCAGTGCAATTAAATCAAAACTGGAGCGATTTAGTTACTGATTCGGGGGTTTGAAGTTGAACAGTGACGATGACGAGGTTCTTGTTCCTGCGGAGGTGTTTCGTTTCTCCGGTGGCGGTGTTTTGGCACTAAAAAAAAGTGATGCCTACACTCTACTCGAATGAAGATGCCTTGAAGTATTTGAATCGATTTCTGGCGTTGAATCACTTTTACCAATGTCCTTTCTGCTCTTTAAGAGAAAATAAGAGCTATTATGATGTCACCCAAGTACCCGATGGCCTACCCAACCTGGTGTATGAGATGTAACGTACATAAATTAGAGAAGAATTGATAGATCCCGAGAAATCAGCAGCAAGAATACCTGATAATACTCTATATATAACCTAAATACTGTATAGATCCTCTATTCCACCTTGATACCAACGCTCATCCAGCTCATCGCCACGCACGGACCACCCACTCAAACCCGATATCAAAAGCGCAAACCAACCAACCCGCAACGAGGACAGCGCAAAGTCCAAATATAAAAGAACAGACAAATCCCCCAACCAAATCCAACCAAATCCCCCCCACTAAACAGTCAAGATGGTGCAGCCGCGCATGGTAAGTCGACCCCCACCAAGCTCAAGCGCGACAACACCCCGCCAAAGTCCAGCTGTCCAGCTAACCGAATCAACGCGCAGCTCACAAAAGCGGACGAGTCATCAGCCAATGATGAGAATGAAGTCCGTCGCGAGGATCAGGAGAAGATTAACCGCTTCAGTCGATTGCATCAGCGCGAGACTGTGCTTGAGGAGCAGTTGAAGGGGAAGCAGGTATGGAAATATCCTTTTGGGAACTTGCTTTCTGCTATGTATTGCATCTTTTACTAACTAGGCTATAGAAGGACAAGGAGGATTTGGAAGAGGTTTCGATGGAGTTGGAGCTTGCTGATGAAGATGAGCTTGTGCCGTAAGAAATACCCTCTCTCGTCTCCTTTTTCTATTTTTCATTTTTCTCATATATGTTGCTATGTTCCCTTGTGGCTCTTCTCTGCGATTCTGATTTTGGGGGATTGCAAAGAAAGCCCAAAATCAAAAGAATAGAAAAAGAAAAGAAGCTGTCACTAACAAGAACACAGTTACAAAATCGGCGACTCATTCTTCCAACTACCACTACCAGACGCGCAGGCAATGCTCTCCTCATCAACAGAGAAGATTGATGCCGATGTCTCCAAGCTAGAGGACTCTCTTGGTGAGCTGCGCGAGGAAATGCAACAGCTGAAGGTTGCGCTGTATGCGCGGTTTGGTCGGAGCATTAACCTGGAGACTTAATTGAGATGAACTGGATGTATTACCACTCTTACTTTTTGTCTCTTGAGACTTGTTTCTCGTTATTTTCTTCTATCTATCTGAAAAATGGGGATCGAGGTTGGACAATCTTCAACTGTTGTCTAGATAAGGTACGCGGAATGGATGAACTTGATGACAGGTTAGATGGCATGGCATCTGCTGCATATCTACTCATATTTATGAGTACATGGAGGTATGAATATGTAGATAGAACTGGATATTATAAGTCAAATGAGGACCACAGCTCGTCAATATCATTCAAACAAAACACGATAGTCAAGAGGTATCTAGGAGGGCAAAAGAGAAAAAGAAGGGAAAAGAAGAAAAGAGAAAACCACAAACAGGAACCGCCAACGAAACCAGTAGGCAAAACAAATGGCTCCATCAAACCGTGGCATATATTTAAGAACGGCACAGGTTCCGCGAGAATCAACGCAGATAACGCCTATTAGCCAGTGCAATTGAGTCTGGTCATCCGGTTAGGTGTATCTGACCAGTTCACCGATTCAAGACCAATGCGACGGAAATTCAAATAAAAAAAAACTCAAGTCATGGCCATGCTTCTGTTCGCCGATGATGTCGTGGGCCTCGTCCAGGGGGGATTTATATACGGCGCGCGTATTTGTGTTTTTTTATGTGCTTCCCGTGTGCGAAAGTGAATAGATCACCGGAACTTGGCACGGCAGCGACCCATGATCTCGTTTTGACAGACTAGTTCGGCGCTGAATTCACTGCCGTCTAGTGTGAGGTAGATGTCAAAGTAGACACGGTAGAAGATGCCTTGTGGTGTGTCCATGCGCTCGAAGTCAGTCTCGAGGTTCTTGCGCGACAGATCGGATGTGAGTGTGACGACTTCCTTGATGCCTAGGGAAGGTATTAGTAATGCGTACAAAGAAAATGGAATCCGCTCAACTTACGTGGATCCTTGGTGTACTCGGGACACACGTCCTCATCACAAGCGTAAAGCACATCCTCGTACATGAGGGTGGCGCCAGGTGCAACTTGACGGAAGAAGCTGACCTTGACTGGTTCGCCGATTCTGACACGCTCCCCCTTTTGAACGAAAATCTGGCGGGTGTACTTGCATCGATCGCGGCCATCCAAACTGGGCACACGGTACTGTTCCGGGTGATAGCCTTCCTTGAATGGCTGAAGCGTGGCCATAAGGTAGTGCCGACGTGCTACACGATGTGTGATGACCCGCTCAGTAATACCTGCGGTAACTGCACCCTTCACAATCGCAGCTACAGAGTCCATCGGGCGGACCACCTTTGTCTGATATTGTGGCGGCACGTGGAGCTTGATCTGCTGGAAGAGGTATTCTGAAGCACCAAATCCACCAACGACCAGAACGTTCTACAAACGTGTTAGCTCTGTACTGAAAACTAAGCCTAGATACCCGTACCTGGATCAAACGGTTCTGTGCTTGAATGGCGATAATCTGGTTGCGGACCAACTCGAGGATACGATTCACAACAGGCTCAAAGCACTGAAGGATCTCCTCGTTCATGAAGGTCATGTATCCCTCTTCGATGCCAGCATCGGGGAAGTCAGCCTCGATACCCACATCCACTGCCCATTTTTGCCCGTTGTTGCGGAAGTCAGCCTTGATGCGGTTCTCAAAGTCCATGATACACTTCGCATAGACCTTTCCCGCAGTCCGAGAGCCATCCGGCAGCTTCATCTTACGGATCTTCGCGCGCAAGATGTTACTGAAATTCCGATTCAGTGCTGTTGAACCACACGAGTCACCAGACCCGGCAGTACATTCCATCACACTGAAAGGCTGCTCTTCCTCGACCTCGTATGCAATCAAATCCACAGTACCGCCACCGCAATCCACGATCAAAATAGCGTCGCCCACCTTCAGGTTGAGCAGTCCGCTTTTGGCACAGAACAAGGCCGCTGCTTCGGGTTCTGAGACTAGTGTAAGACGGTTATCATTCTCGTCGCGCAAGAAGCCAGCTTGAATAGCAGCAGTCCGGGTGGCAGCCTTGCCGGCGTCATTCCAGATAGCCGGTACGGTCAGGTAGTATCGGATATTGCGTTCCTCGCGCGTGAACACTTCTCCTAGAGCCTTTTGCAACTGAGCGCGAATGGCTTGTCGTAGCTTGAAGAGGTAATCGGCAGCGACATCGATTTCGGACTTGCCCGGGGGCAGGGGAGGTAGGTTGATGGGATCAATATAGGTATTTCCAGAGAGCATAAGTTGGAGTTTGAACCACTCGACTTTCTGCACTTGGGGCTTGGGGTATCCGGTCGGGGCGAGAGCGTCGGCAATATCGGGGCCCCATCCTACTACCTTTTGGTATTGGTCGTAGTAGAGGACAGTCGGAATCTAGCAGAGAGAAAACCTGTTAGCACTCACGTTCATGGAGGATACTTGCTCACGCTCACCTTTTGTTTTGCGTGGGTTCCGGCGCCGGGCCATTCCGTGATGATGTCCTCGCTTGCCTGGTTGTTGGTCGCAAATGCATATGCGACACCTGAGAAGGTTGTGCCGAAGTCAATACCGACAATCAGTTGGGCCTTGCTCCGATCCCCACCCTCAACCTCGACCGCAGGGTTGCGCCCTGGATACTGGTTGTTTGACAGTGGGGCGGGAATACTGGGAGCCATCTGCTGCTGCATGCCGTAGCCGGGCGGGCCATTCATGGGAGCATTAGGATATTGAAGGTTTGTTGTGATGGGGGAGTCTGTTGTTGACCATGTACCATTGGGCTCGTTGGTCGGTTGTTTGTGTAACTTGGCGGTCGGCCTAACTGTTGTTGGTTCATTGGAAGACTTGTTGATGAACTGTGACCGGAAGGGGGTGGGGAACTAGGGGTAGGAGTTGCAATGGGGTTGGAATTAGGAGTCTTATGTTTGTTCCTAAAGCCAAATGACTTAAATCGGGAACTCATGAGATCCATGTGAGGCGACAAAAGAGGGAAAGAGAATGGAAGGGGAAGAAAGATGAAAGAGGGGGGAAAGTGAGGCTGAGGTTTACGGTAAATTGTGGAGATCAAAGAAACCCTGAATATATATATAACAATAAGATAAATAGGGAATTAAAACTGAAGATTATCCTGAAACAGGTTATAACTACTAGGACATCCTCCATACACGAAAATCCAATGTGAGTTATAACATACATACTCAAATTCATACAATCTCACCATTCTTGGCACTTCTCTCCGCGGGGTAGAAAGTATACATGTTCATTGTGAACATGAACTATGTACATATAACGAGGTATAGGTCTTTCTCTCTCCTATTTTTGAATATGTACCCAAGGTCAATCCTCAGGTTAGGTCCTTTCTTTGTCTCGAGTTTTGGCCCCCAAAAGGCGAAAAAAAAACCCGCCCAAAAAACAGGGCAAAATCAGCCTTGTCTAGCATATGTTGTACCTATGTGTCTGAATTACAGGGGTTTGTCCGCTTTCTGACCAGCCCTCCCATTTAAACCTTTCGCGCCACCCAGTGTGAGGGCTGATAAAGATTCTGAAGCATGCTGTTCGGGTCCTGAATATAACCACAAGCCTTCCGATC